TAATTAGATATTGCATATAATTTGGTAGTAAAACACAATGCTACACGTTTTATTGGTGCAAAGGTGAGTATATTTATGTTGTACATCATTTGCAACTGCTTTTTATCACTTAATTAGAAGCACCAGAAATTAAATTGTCTCATCTCTGTTATAGGGACTACTGAACAGACATTTAGAAGTTTATTTTAAAATACAAAGTATTGAAAATAAAAATTAAAACTCTGTAAACACTTGCATTTTTACAACACTATAAGTGTGTCCCATCAGGTAATGAAAAGTTGTACACACACCCCTTGTCCAAATACCCACACTTGCGGTCTTGGCCACTTGAGAGCGCGTGCGCGCACAGGAAGTAAGTTTGCAAGTCTGTCCCATGTCTTCAAAATGCCAAAGTGCAGTGCCCTTAATGCACACTAAATCCACACTATCTCGAATACCGCTCCAGAGCGCTATTCAAGGCTTAGTGTATCCCATCATGCATCATGTTCTGGAAATAAATCGTTTTAAATTAAAATCTTCTAAATGTCTGTTCAGTAGTCCCTATAACATGACAATTTTAATTTGTGGTGCTTCTAATTAAGTGATAAAAAGCAGTTGCAAATGTTGTACAAAATAAATATCACCACTACTCATCTTTGCACCAATAAAATGTAAAAACACTGTTTTTCTACCAAATTATGTAATATCTAATTATTGTAATGTTTAACTTGTATTGGAAAGGTTTCCGTGACCTCTCGTGAGATCTCGGCAAAAAGTCTCACGATTTATTTCCAGAACATGATGCATGATGGGATACACTTAGCCTTGAATAGCGCTCTGGAGCGGTATTCGAGATAGTGTGGATTTAATGTGTGTTAAGTTATGACTAGTCAAAATAGCATTGTAGATATCTTCAATGCATATAATGACTAGTCATAATCACATTGTAGATATCTTAATTCCAATTACGACGAGTCAAAATTGCAGAATAGATATCTGGAATTGGAATTTTGACTAGTCAAAACTAAATTATGACTAGTACAGCAAGGAGTATTTAATGCTAATGCGGCTTGCCATATTATCCAGATAGTGTTTGCATGAGAGCGCTGGTGTGAGCAGGTGATGTGGCCCTGGTCGGAAGGTCACTGAAAGCCGTCAGTTCCTTTTTCCTCTCCGGATATTCCCAGCATTCTCCCAGCAACATCACCAGCCGTGAATTCTGAGAAACAGCGGGCAGGAAGCCTGGCTCGGCTGCTGGGGACTTTGCTCAGAATTGACTGTTTTTTTGCTCGTATGCAGGATCAGCTTCATGAGCCTGAACGTATTGCTTTAGTATTATAAGAAGAGCGATAAAACTGGTCACAGATCAGCAGTGAAATCAGATGAGCAGGCAGTTTCACACAATCCCAGAGAGCAGAGCTGGTAAGAAGAGCTCCTTCAGTAGTCAACACTGAACTCTCCTGGCCACTGTCAGTAGAGGAGACGGGTAATGCAATTGTAAGAAAGTGTCCAGTGAAAAGAAAAAAACTACATCCCAGAAAAATACAATACAGTAAAAAAATGAAATGTTTTTTATTTTTACTGAATTTTGTTTTTAAAGAAAGGATTTTTAAATAAAATTATTTTATTCACACTGGACAAGAACATTTTTTGGAAAAGAAAAAATATAAAATAAAAAAAAAAACTACTGATTTTATTGATAAATAAAGTGAAATAAAACTAAATAAAAAAACTAAATACAAACACTAATTTTATTTACACTGGTCAAAAAACTAAACTAAAATAATAAAATAACTGAATTTTATCTTTAAAGAATGAAATAAAATTAAAATTTTATTCACACGGGAAAAGAAAATTTTATTATTTATTATATAACAAACTAAAAAAATGTGTTTTATTTTTAATGATTTTTATTCTTAAATAAAGCAAAAGAAAGCTAAATAAAATAATAAATACAATCAATAATTTTATTCACACTAGACAACAAAATAAAATGAATTTAATACAGTAAAATAACATTTTACTGAATTTTATTTTTAAAGAAAATAAAAGAAAATAATTTTATTCACTGGTCAAGAAAATATTTTTTTTTAATTTTTACTGATTTTTATTCTTAAAGAAAGCAAAAGAAAACTAAATAAAATAAAATATATATATATACAAAATTTGACTGAATTTTATTTTTAAAGAAAAGAAAAATAAAGTCTTTAAATTACGAGAAAGAAAGTTATTACATTTCGAGAAAAAAAGTCGATATAAAATGTTGAGAATAAAGTCTTTAAATTACGAGAAAGTCGTTACATTTCGAGAAAAAAGTTTAAATAAAATGTTGAGAATAGTTTTTAAATTACGAGAAAAAAAGTTACATTTCGAGAAAAAAAGTCTAATAAAATGTTGAGAATAAAAAGTTACATTGAGAAAAAAAGTCGATATGAAATGTTAAGAATAAAGTCTTTAAATTACGAGAAAAAAGTTACATTGAGAAAAAAAGTTGATATAAAATGTTGAGAATAAAGTCATTAAATTACGAGAAAAAAGTTACATTGAGAAAAAAAGTTGATATAAAATGTTGAGAATAGTCTTTAAATTACGAGAAAAAAGTTACATTTCGAGAAAAAAGTCGATATAAAATGTTGAGAATAGTTTTTAAATTACGAGAAAAAAGTTACATTTCGAGAAAAAAAGTTGATATAAAATGTTGCGAATAAAGTCATTAAATTACGAGAAAGTCGTTACATTGAGAAAAAAAGTCGATATGAAATGTTAAGAATAAAGTCTTTAAATTACGAGAAAAAAGTTACATTTCGAGAAAAAAAGTCTAAATAAAATGTTGAGAATAGTCTTTAAATGACGAGAAAAAAGTTACATTGAGAAAAAAAGTTGATAAAATGTTGAGAATAAAGTCTTTAAATTACGAGAAAGAAAGTTATTACATTTCGAGAAAAAAAGTTGATATAAAATGTTGAGAATAAAGTCTTTAAATTACGAGAAAAAAGTTACATTGAGAAAAAAAGTTGATAAAATGTTGAGAATAGTCTTTAAATGACGAGAAAAAAGTTACATTGAGAAAAAAAGTTGATAAAATGTTGAGAATAGTCTTTAAATGACGAGAAAAAAGTTACATTGAGAAAAAAAGTTGATAAAATGTTGAGAATAGTCTTTAAATTACGAGAAAAAAGTTACATTTCGAGAAAAAAAGTCGATATAAAATGTTGAGAATAGTCTTTAAAAAAGTCGTTACATTTCGAGAAAAAAGTCTTAAAAAAAAATCTCGAAACACGCCGACTTTTTTTCTCATAATTAAATTAGTTTATTCTCAACATTTTATTTAGACTTTTTCCTCAAAATGTAGCGAGTTTTTTTCTCTCGAAATTTAACTACTTTTTTTCTCGTAATTTAATGACTTTATTCTCAATTTTATCTCAACTTTTTCCCTCAAAATTTAACGAGATTTATCTCGAAACATGACTTTATTCTCGAAATTTTATAAATTTAATCTCAACATTTAATTTCGACATTTATCTTGAAATTGAATGAGTTTAATCTCGTATTATAATGACTTTAATCTCTAGATGGTTTTATTTTTTTTTATTATTGCTTGGTCCTAATCCTCTTCCGTACTAGACAACTTAAAGATAATGTTGACCAAAAATCTTTATCTTATCTTTATGTTCTTTATATACATACTTTACTAGCCTTTTGTTTTGGAGCTTTGATGCAGTCTTCATCTTCTCAAGGCGCAAACAGGAATTCAACTGCTCTGGTCATGTGACGATTTGCACTAACCATGTGAAACTGCACATATTTCATTTCATTTCACACACACACACACGCGCGCACACACACACATGGGTCATTTAACGAAGCAAAGTTATCAAAGCAACTCTTTAATTATAATCATTTTAAATTATAGTATATATTACATATTATAATTTATTATACCCCTATAAGATTATAACTATCTTCTATAATATCAAAGCAATAATCTTTTTCCCCCTAAAGATTTATCAGTCCATACTCTGCACTCTTTCTTTTCACACGTAATTAAATAATACAAAAAGTAAAATACACTACTGTTTAAAAATTTGGGGTCATTCAGATTAAAAAAAAAAAAAAAAAAAACGAAAGAAAGAAAATATTTTTTTTCAGTAAGGATGCATTAAACTGGTCAATAGTGACAGTAAAAACATTTAAAATGTTACTTTTAGATTTCTATTTCAAATAAATGCAGTTATTTTACATGTTCTATTCATCAAGGGATCCTTTAAAAAAAGTACCATGCTTTCCACAAAAATATTAAGCAACAAAACTGTTTATATAATGAATAATAATAATTATTGAGCACCAAGTCAATGAAATTGTAATATTCAGCTGAAATTTAAATATTTTACAATATTGCGTTTTTACTGTATTTTTGATCAAGTAAATGTAACCTTTAAAAAAACAATCAAAAAATCTTAATGAACTCAAATTTTTGAACAGTAATGTATATTTAAAATCTTTGTTGCATCTTAATATTAAGCCATTGTTTTGATTCATGTTATTTTAAAATCATTTATTTAAATTGTACTTTTTTATGATTTCATTAATTATCAGCTTTGCATTAAACTCATGAACCTCCTGCAGTTCCTTCATGAACCCCAGTTTGGGAAACCTTGACATAATGTTAATAACAACAAATGGAATATATTTTTATTTATATCAATATGGTACAAGTTTATCCTGTTTAAATCGATGTGATAAATGAGTTAGGTCAAAAGTAGTCTGATTATATAACCTAAAATGTGTGATGTAATGGATTACGTTACTAATTACAGTTTTTGTCATATCATTTGGAATCAGTAAAGGATTACAATTTGTAAGTTATCTGCCCAGCTCCGTTTACACGTTTTTTTCCTGAAAGGTTTTAGTTGGATGGTTATCCATTTTTTTTTTTATGTTACTATTTATTTCAAAATGTTCCGAGAGCATTCAAAAGTAACATTCTCATAATAATGTTTTCAAAATTATCAAATGGAATGTTCCCTTAATGTTTTAAACGGTTTAAAAACTGGGCATTTTGAACATTCAGAGAACATTCAGCAATGATATTTGTATAATTGAATGGGAGCGTCTGGGTTATCTGGTTTGTGTTTGTTGTGTAGGACGTGCTATGCAGCTGCGGCCCACTCTCATCGAAGACTTCAAGACCCTGGTGGCTGAGCAGGGAATGAGTGAAGACACTAATCAAAAAGTACAAAGGTACCCTCACGACGCAAACCAATGCAAAACACACTTTTATTCAGATCAGATGTCATTGTTTTTGGCTCTGTGTCGTCAGGTGAATGTATTCCAGGTGAGCAGGTCACACCAGAGCCACAGATCCAGGTGAAGACCTCAGCACACACACCATAAACTAAAACACTTACATTTGAGCTAAAAGCTAATAGTTACCAAGTGGGATTGTTCAACCAAAAATGACAGCTTTGTCATCAGTTATTCATCCTAATGTCGTTCCAAACCTGTGTATTTAACGTTTAAATCATTTAAAGTCTGCTGAATCCATACAAACACATAAACAACACCCGAGGGTGAATAAATAATCGATTGATAGAAGCGTGATTAATAATCCTGTCATGTGATTGGATCTCAATAGAGGGCGAGGAGGAATGTGGTCCTGCCGGCCCCTGAGGAGGGATCGGGGGACGATACACCCATCTTCAGAGGACCTGGTGAGCAATAGTGCCACTTATGTGCTTTCATATATGTAAACGAATATCATAGGTGATAGTTGACAAATTTGTAACTAATGTGTTATGGTATAATAATGTATCAAGTGTAAGTGTTTACTGGGTGTTTTTGTACATTTCATGACTGGTTGGTAACCATTTGATTTAATAATTATTTTTTATTTATTTGTTTGTTTGTTTGTTTGTTTATTTATTTAGCCTTGTGGTGTGACAAATGTTTTAAATGTGCAAATATGTCACAAAATTACTGAGGTCAAAAAAAAGGGCATGTGTAATAATTATACAAAAAAACTGCCTTTTGATTGGTTATCCATACAGCTGAGCTAGTTTTTATTTAATTTTGCAAGAAAAAAAGAAAACAATGTTTTAATTTGGGCAGGGTTATATATATATATATATATATATATATATATATATATATATATATAACCCTGCCCAAATTCAAACATTGTTTTCTTTTTTTCTTGCAAAATTAAATAAAAACTAGCTCAGCTGTATGGATAACCAATCAAAAGGCAGTTTTTTTGTATAATTATTACACATGCCCTTTTTTTTGACCTCAGTAATTTTGTGACATATTTGCACATTTAAAACATTTGTCACACCACAAGGCTAAATAAATAAACAAACAAACAAACAAACAAATAAATAAAAAATAATTATTAAATCAAATGGTTACCAACCAGTCATGAAATGTACAAAAACACCCAGTAAACACTTACACTTGATACATTATTATACCATAACACATTAGTTACAAATTTGTCAACTATCACCTATGATATTCGTTTACATATATGAAAGCACATAAGTGGCACTATTGCTCACCAGGTCCTCTGAAGATGGGTGTATCGTCCCCCGATCCCTCCTCAGGGGCCGGCAGGACCACATTCCTCCTCGCCCTCTATTGAGATCCAATCACATGACAGGATTATTAATCACGCTTCTATCAATCGATTATTTATTCACCCTCGGGTGTTGTTTATGTGTTTGTATGGATTCAGCAGACTTTAAATGATTTAAACGTTAAATACACAGGTTTGGAACGACATTAGGATGAATAACTGATGACAAAGTTGTCATTTTTGGTTGAACAATCCCACTTGGTAACTATTAGCTTTTAGCTCAAATGTAAGTGTTTTAGTTTATGGTGTGTGTGCTGAGGTCTTCACCTGGATCTGTGGCTCTGGTGTGACCTGCTCACCTGGAATACATTCACCTGACGACACAGAGCCAAAAACAATGACATCTGATCTGAATAAAAGTGTGTTTTGCATTGGTTTGCGTCGTGAGGGTACCTTTGTACTTTTTGATTAGTGTCTTCACTCATTCCCTGCTCAGCCACCAGGGTCTTGAAGTCTTCGATGAGAGTGGGCCGCAGCTGCATAGCACGTCCTACACAACAAACACAAACCAGATAACCCAGATGCTCCCATTCAATTATACAAATATCATTGCTGAATGTTCTCTGAATGTTCAAAATGCCCAGTTTTTAAACCGTTTAAAACATTAAGGGAACATTCCATTTGATAATTTTGAAAACATTATTATGAGAATGTTACTTTTGAATGCTCTCGGAACATTTTGAAATAAATAGTAACATAAAAAAAAAAATGGATAACCATCCAACTAAAACCTTTCAGGAAAAAAACGTGTAAACGGAGCTGGGCAGATAACTTACAAATTGTAATCCTTTACTGATTCCAAATGATATGACAAAAACTGTAATTAGTAACGTAATCCATTACATCACACATTTTAGGTTATATAATCAGACTACTTTTGACCTAACTCATTTATCACATCGATTTAAACAGGATAAACTTGTACCATATTGATATAAATAAAAATATATTCCATTTGTTGTTATTAACATTATGTCAAGGTTTCCCAAACTGGGGTTCATGAAGGAACTGCAGGAGGTTCATGAGTTTAATGCAAAGCTGATAATTAATGAAATCATAAAAAAGTACAATTTAAATAAATGATTTTAAAATAACATGAATCAAAATGAAACTGTAAAAAAAGTTAATATTTTATTTGTTTACCTGCATGTCACGTGAACAGAGAACTGTGATACTTAATAATTAAAATATGTGACCCTGGACCACAAAACTAGTCATAAGGGTAAATATTTTGAAATTGAGATTTATACATCATATAAATAAGCTTTCAATTGCTGTATGGTTTGTTAGGACAATATTTGAAAATCTGGAATCTGAGGGTGCAAAAAAATCTAATTATTGAGAAAATCACCTTTAAAGTTGTTCAAATGAAGTTCTTAGCAATGCATATTACTAATCAAAAATTCCGTTTTGATATATTTACGGTAGGAAATTTACAAAATATTTTCATGGAACATGATCTTTACTTAATATCCTAATGATTTTTGGCATAAAAGCAAAATCAATAATTTTGACTCATACAATGTATTCTTGGCTATTGCTACAAATATCCCCCAGCGACTTAACACTGCTTTTGTGCTCCAGGGTCACATATTTATTTTAAATTCTGAGGTGTACTTCAAGTAAATATATTAGGTGAAAGACAAAAAAAGTTGCCTGCATTATATGTAAATAAGAAACAGTGTGAAATTGTGCATTTTGTGTGTGTGTGAAAGACAAAGTAATGCATGGTTAAACCAACGGAGTGATAATTCAAATAAAAATGAATGTGTTCATCAGTAGTTGATTCAATGTTTAAACACTTCCTAATCCTGAAATGATTTTTGTAAATCCAGTGGTCAAATGCAGTGTATCCACCTGACTAATGACTGATCTCTGTGTGAATGTCCACAAAACTGGAAGACTTTCTGAGTGTATATAAGCGGGAGGCCATTTTACAAAGGAACATTTAAATGATGAAAAAGAGGAATTATGACGAATCAATTGTTTTTGTGTGAATAACATGCAATGCAATCATGTAATCAATTAAAGAGTAATTACAAGTAATGTAATCTAATCATAAGTACTTAATTTTTTTAATCTGATAACGTAATCCAGATTACATGTAATCAATTACTACCCAGCTCTGATACTGTAGTATTACTCTATACTCCCTGACATTTTTCAAATAGGCCTATACACTCTTAAAAAAGAAGGTGCTTAAAAGGTTCTTCGCAGCGATGCCTTAGAAGAACAATTTCTGGTTCAGTCAAAGGTTCTTTAAAGATCCATCTCTTTCTTACCTTTTTATAATCTGAAGAACCTTCTTTCGCCTCAAAGAACCTTTAGTGAAACAGAAAGGTTCTTCAGATGTTAAAGGTTCTTTATGGAACCATTTAGACAAAAAGGTTCTACTATGGCATCGTGAAGCACCTTTATTTTTAAGAGTGTACATGAGCAAAGAGACATAAACAGCAGTGAAACGACACAAGGTCGCTCTGTGATCGACAGCACTGGCGCTGTGGTAATGAAATCTTCCAGGGGTTTTGCTCAGCTGATATTCTCCACTGATGGATTTACAGCTGCCATGTCTGCAGAAGAAACACACAATGCCTGTCATACAGGGTCTGTTTTGAGGGTATGAGGGTGTTCAGTGAACAGTAGTGTGTTGATTGGATGTGAGGTAATTGTGTGCTGTACCTGCGGGCATCCGGGTCATGCTGATGGTCTGTGTTGAGTCACTGGACTGCAGCTCCATAGAGCCGATGGCTGCGTCTGCCTTGTGACGCTTCATCCACGGGTGTGTGGACGCAGTCGCAATATCATACCATTTGCCCATGAACTTCCAGAGGAGACGAGGAGATTAGGAGAAATAAGGCCCATTAGAGAGGTTCAGATGCAGGTGGATGTGGACGCGTTAGAAGGATCACATCACTGGCCAGATTATAATCATAGCTATTCATGGTAACAATGCACTGCACTGCATAATTATTTTTGTATAACAGCCAGTGAATTTTTTTTTAATGCAAATATCACCTTAACACTTGTATTAGACCAAAAGAAAAGTTACTGAAATGTGACCCTGGACCACAGCATGGTTAAACCAACGGAGTGATAATTCAAATAAAAATGAATGTGTTCATCAGTAGTTGATGCAATGTTGAAACACTTCCTAAACCTGAAATGATTTTTGTAAATCCAGTGGTCAAATGCAGTGTATCCACCTGACTAATGACTGATCTCTGTGTGAATGTCCACAAAACTGGAAGACTTTCTGAGTGTATATAAGCGGGAGGCCATTTTACAAAGGAACATTTAAATGATGAAAAAGAGGAATTATGACGAATCAATTGTTTTTGTGTGAATAACATGCAATGCAATCATGTAATCAATTAAAGAGTAATTACAAGTAATGTAATCTAATCATAAGTACTTAATTTTTTTAATCTGATAACGTAATCCAGATTACATGTAATCAGTTACTACCCAGCTCTGATACTGTAGTATTACTCTATACTCCCTGACATTTTTCAAATAGGCCTATACACTCTTAAAAAAGAAGGTGCTTAAAAGGTTCTTCGCAGCGATGCCTTAGAAGAACAATTTCTGGTTCAGTCAAAGGTTCTTTAAAGATCCATCTCTTTCTTACCTTTTTATAATCTGAAGAACCTTCTTTCGCCTCAAAGAACCTTTAGTGAAACAGAAAGGTTCTTCAGATGTTAAAGGTTCTTTATGGAACCATTTAGACAAAAAGGTTCTACTATGGCATCGTGAAGCACCTTTATTTTTAAGAGTGTACATGAGCAAAGAGACATAAACAGCAGTGAAACGACACAAGGTCGCTCTGTGATCGACAGCACTGGCGCTGTGGTAATGAAATCTTCCAGGGGTTTTGCTCAGCTGATATTCTCCACTGATGGATTTACAGCTGCCATGTCTGCAGAAGAAACACACAATGCCTGTCATACAGGGTCTGTTTTGAGGGTATGAGGGTGTTCAGTGAACAGTAGTGTGTTGATTGGATGTGAGGTAATTGTGTGCTGTACCTGCGGGCATCCGGGTCATGCTGATGGTCTGTGTTGAGTCACTGGACTGCAGCTCCATAGAGCCGATGGCTGCGTCTGCCTTGTGACGCTTCATCCACGGGTGTGTGGACGCAGTCGCAATATCATACCATTTGCCCATGAACTTCCAGAGGAGACGAGGAGATTAGGAGAAATAAGGCCCATTAGAGAGGTTCAGATGCAGGTGGATGTGGACGCGTTAGAAGGATCACATCACTGGCCAGATTATAATCATAGCTATTCATGGTAACAATGCACTGCACTGCATAATTATTTTTGTATAACAGCCAGTGAATTTTTTTTTAATGCAAATATCACCTTAACACTTGTATTAGACCAAAAGAAAAGTTACTGAAATGTGACCCTGGACCACAAAAACCATATACCCCAGCGACTTAACACTGCTTCTGTGCTCCAGGGTCACAGATGTGTACAAATCAAATTTACTAGGGAAGTCCTACGAACTAACATTACAATTTATTTTTCCATTTTCATTTATTTATTTTAGGGGCCATATATATATATGTGTGTGTGTGTACATATCAGTTGAATATCTTGCATAATGCTATAATTACAGTAGTTATAATTGTTATTAAGTTCTTATTATTATTATACAATTAATACTTAATTTTACTTTCATGAATTTTGTTTCCTGTTTATTTCACGTTGTAGGTCTATATATTGTAGGTAATTTTTAGTTTTATATAGCCTACTTTCTCATAAATCATTTTAGATTAATTACAATATAAGAAACTAAAAAACGATTAAAAAAAACCTATACAAAGCCTATTAAACCCTTTTAAATAGAGATGATTTTTTCTTTCTACCTATTTCTTGCTATTTCATGAATTGCTTGAAGTGTTTATTATTGACTTAATTTATTATATTATTAATATTTATACATTTTTTGTTTCATGTTAAAAAAGGATCGTATATATTGTGTCATTTTTGTTTTGTAAAGTCTACTTTCACATAAAATATTTGGTGCATTCACCAAAATGCAAATAAACAGTATATAAAGTTTAAACACCTATTGCATGAATTGTTTGTTTTATGTTGTATATATTGTATTTGTTTTGTACCTTTTTTCTTTCATAAAAAGTTTAACTTTTATTACAATATGTAATAAATCGTTGACATGATCGCAAAGATATTATTTAAATAAAAAAAGTACTTTTTTAAAATATGACTGAATCCGAATTCAATACTTCCCTGTACCTTACAAGAATGCTAAAAACAGTACACCAAAAGAGTAGTATGTCTGAATTCAGAGAATTTGAAAAACAGTCAAAAGTAACCCGATTAAAAGTACCCGGATGACTTCCTACTTCTGCCTGGATTCTGAAGTGTGCATTCGATGGACACTTTATGGTTACACTTTACTTGAAGGGGTGTGCATAAGACTGACATGACACCTTCATAATCATGACGTGACACCTACATAATCATAACATGACACATGTCATGAATATGAAGGTTTTTTATGCATGTTTATGACAACTGTCATTAAGTGTCATTCGCTCAGTTATGTCATTTTTAATGCAAAGATGACATTGTTTGAGATGTCTTTGTTATGGGCTATGGTTAGGGGTAGGGTTAGGTTAGGGTTAGGTCAAATAATGTCATATTTGCATTAAAAATGACATAACTGAGCGAATGACACTTAATGACAGTTGTCATAAAAATGCATAAAACCTCCTTCATATTCATGACATGTGTCATGTCATGATTATGAAGGTGCCATGTCAGTCTTATGCACACCCCTTCAAGTAAAGTGTTACCCACTTTATTATCCCATGAGGCCATAATTTAGTGATTTCAGATGCACTGATTGAGTTCAGTAATATACATCAATATATCAAATTATTAAAATCTTCTCCTCAGGTGTCCTATCAGAGTAACCAACAATCGCTTCATCTATAAACATGAGAAATTCATATTTGACAACAACATAACTCTCCAAATACTTTGTGTCGTCACTCGTCAATTTGAACAGCATTGCTTTATCATTCGAACCCTAAAGAGCCTTTTACACATTCATTCAGTTTTAGGTTCAGCCAAAAATGAAAATTCTGTCATCATTTACTCACCCTCGTGTTGTTACAGACCTGTATGAGTAGGGCTGTAAAGTCGATTAATCGCTTCCAAAACATTTGATTTATATTATAAATAAATATATTACATATATTTCTTAAACATACATGTATAGATGTGTGTGTATTTATATGTACATATAAATATAAACAGTATGCACACAAATATTAAGTAAATTACTTTTTTTGTGGAGTTTTTACAGCCCTATGCACGAGTTTCTTTTTCTTCTACTGAACACAAAAGAAGATAATGTAAAGAATGTAAGTAACTGTCAGGAGTTTGGACCTGTCTGTGTGTTATTTTCCTCCCCATGTGCTCCGTGACCTAGTTTTCCCTTGTGTTTGATTGTGTTCATTGCTCCCAGGCGTGTCTCATTATTAGTTGATCCCATGCACCTGTGTTTCCCTTATTATCCCCTTTATTTAAGTCCATGCCTTTGCGGTCTGTGTTTGTCGAGTCTTAAACGTCATTTTATGTGCTCTGTGTCTCCTACGCTCCCTGTATTCCCAGTGATTGGATTATTAAAGTCTGTTTTGTTGAAGTTATTCCTCGCTCCCAGCTCAGGAGTAGTGATGCAAAGTCTGATTCATTTCTGCGAACCGGTTCTTTTCGGACAGATCGGCTCATTGAACCTATTCAAAAAACCGAATCATCGGTTCCTGACGTCATCAAGCAATAACGTCTCTACACATTTCTTTTCTAACAACTCAATGCCTTGTTGTATCAATGAAAAATTCAAATAAGTCATTTGTGTCAACGCATATTGTAACATTCAAACATAAAGCTGATTACTGCCATATAATTCACTTAAGTTAATGGTGTTTGTGGTCACAGTTTCATTCGCGGATTCTCCGATACGACTGACTGAGCAATATTGACTAGCCTACAACTTGGATAAGATTCCTAAAAGTTTCGCACCTACAGCACACATTACAGACATTGATGCACAAACGCGGATATGTTCTACATGTCTAAAGTATAAAGAATGAATAAACCAGTCTTATAAACTCCTTGATTTCGCTTAAGCAACTTTAAATATAATATGCATGCACAATAAACTATTGTAAAATGTATTTACATCACTCGGCAGAAAGATTTTTGCAGGTTTTAATAAAATGTAAATGAACAACTGTCATAATAAACAAGCATATTTCCAGTACGCGCCTCAGGCTTGCACAGTATCGTCAACTCACTCATCAGAATCTTCGGTAATCCTCGGCAAACTTCGACAGTTGGTTGAACCGGCTCATTCGGTTCGGAGCTGGACGTGCTACTTCGGCTGTGCGTCCTGCGTCATCAACCCGGAACTAAAGTTCGATTTGTGAACCGGCTCAACCGGTTACTTCCTGAGAACCGGCTCAAAAGAACGATTCGTTCAAGAACCTAACATCACTACTCCGGAGTACCATGACAGTAACGAATTTACAGTAACGATTTATTTGAATCCCCATAGTATTTTTTTTACACACTATGGAAGTCAATGGCTACCGTCAACTGTTTGGTTACCAACATTCTTCAAAATATCTTCTTTTTTGTTCAACAGAATAGAGAAACTCATACAGGTTTGGAGTCAGTGATGACACGTTTTCATTTTGGGGTGAACTGCCCCTTTAATTGTCCAGATGAAGTCAAACTTGCGGGTGTAAGTGCATTGAGTGGTTTACCAGCAGCTGGTGGAGTCAGTATGGAGTCCTTCGGGAATCCTTGAGCTGTGGCATACACTCTGAACTTCTCCATCACATCTGCCCTCAACTTCTTAGTACGACCTACAGTAAAATTACAGGCACTGAGAACAATTTACAAAGTCAGAGGAACAAGAACGCCCTCCCAAATAGCTTGAGTTGATAACAGTTGTTTATTGCAGACTAACCATAAAGGGCCACTTGTGTGAACTCCTTTTTAAACTTCTTGTGTTTGAGGACCAGGGCGTACTCTGTGTAGTTCGTCTCCACCACAGTAACATCCTTCACCCTTCTGTGACCTTTAAATTACAATAAAAAAACTGAACGGTAGCATCATCTCAGGCTCTGATCAGTCATATCTGTCTTATATGTTGACTCACGAATGCTGTAGTAGGTGAAGACGCCGGGCACAGAAGTCTTCTTATAAATGTAGACCTTAGAATGACAGCCAGAGGAACTGCATATGATCACAGGAGATGAGTGAATATAATCTAATATATTAGTGCTGTCAAACGATTAATCACGATTAATCGCATCCCAAATAAAAGTTTTTGTTTACATAATATACATGTGTACTTTGTATATTTATTATGTATTTATAAACATACATATACACACACATACAGTATATATTTTGAAAATATGTACATGTATATATATTTATATAATTTATATATACAAATATATTTAATATATAAACATAACATATTTTCCCAAAATATATACATACATGTGTTTGTATTTATATATACACATAATAAATATACACAGTACACACATATATATTATGTAAACAAAAACTTTTATTTTGGATGCGACTAATCGTTTGACAGCACTAAATATAATATAATAATACAGTTATTTTAAAAAGTATTCTTAACTGTTTTAATGAAAACAAATGACACAAGAATAATCATGAATAATATAATATAACAGTTATTTTAGGAACTATGCTTAACTATGTTAAAGAAAACAATTGACAACAATCATCACACAGTGTGTGAATATAATATAATATAATAATATATAACAATTTTAAGATGGCAATAATAATATTTTTGGAACTATTCTAACTTCATTATGAATTAAAACTCAAACAAAATAATTTTCTGAAATATGCTTCTCAGTATTAACAGAGAGTTCAAAGTGCTGTTGTTCTAAATATACAATTCTCAACTTGTTGTATGTAAAAGAACTTGTGCAATAGTATTATAGATATTATATTATGTTTTACTGTATTATATACAAATATTTTGTATATATAGATGAATAATATAATTTATTTTACATAGATGAAAATGGGTGTCCTTCACCTTAAACTCCACATGGTCATGTTGACATTCCCGTTCTCCTTCGGCTCCACTGTGCCCATAGAGATGGGGAGTTTGCTTCTATGCTGCACAAAACCTGGGGAATCATAGGCCAGACCGACCCGATACCACCTCCCTGCAAACTGAACAAACACAATATCTTAAGAGAATAAGCATAATTAGACAAGGACATCTGGGAAAATCAACAGAGAATCCGCCCAAAATATTTAGCCTGATTCTAAAGTCCAATCAGTATCAGATAACAGAACTGATCTTTTGTGTCTTCCCTTAAAAAAATTCTTTTTTTTTCATAAAATCTCATGAAGATGCCTTGAGAACTTGGCAGAAATCACTCAGTCCTTGTTGCAACACTGAGCGGTGACCTTTGCCCTGAGCTCTGTCTCTACAGTTAACGCAATCGCTGTCCCCTCAAACAGCCCTGTAGAGCATTACCCTAACCAACATGTCTATTTCTATGTATTTCAGCCCTAGAGAAGAAAAATATCCCTAAACAAACATTATTCAGCTGTCTAAATATCACACAACACCAGCCTGAACTCAACAAAGACCCACTTTTCAAAATGCTGTTTGGAAATTGCTACTAGTCCAAAACCAGCGTAATCGGAACATGCTACTGTACAGAAAAAAAGGCACCTAAAATCATTTCATGAAGCTTCAGTGTTTAAAACATCAGCTAAAGCACAAGTTCTCACCCTCTGAAGGTCAAAGTTTTTCTGCGGTTGGACGCTGGCGTGGATGTCAGTCAGGAGCATCAGCCAAAAGATGCTCACCAAGGCGATCTTCATGGTGACGTTGTAGGAACACAGCCAGGGATTGTGGACTGTTCAGGGTCTGCCAGCCACATTAGCTCCTCCCCCTCACCAATCCAGCCAATCACATGCAAGAACACACACCTAACAGAGAGACCATTCATCGAAGGTACCATGTTTGAAACGTACAAATATTACAATTTCCATCCCACAAAGTCATAAATGTTTCTATATTTTAGATGCAATAAATTAGACAAACAGGAGCAACTACAGAGAATTAATATTTTTTTTATTAATATTGATTCTTGGGTGCCATTTTTTCGAAAGAGCATGATTTACAGCTAGTCTTTAAGACAAGAGGACCTCAGTGTGACGCGGCACACCTCACACACCTCCTCTACATCAACACACACACTCACACACACACGCACACACACACACACAGCCGGCTCACTCATAGTTTCCCTTCTCTCATCTGCCTCTGCATGTTGTTCCTGAGTACTGAACAGAAATAGACAAAATAAAAGTGCATTTATGATCAGTCTTTTCAGAAGGGTGACAAATCAGTACAATTTATAAACAAAACTGAGGAAAAAAGGGTCAGTTTTCCTTCTTAACTAACAAAATACATTGGCTTTGGTGCTCAATAAAACAAGATAAAACACAAGTTATGTTACTTGAAAATGGTCCTTTGTAGCTTTAAAGCTATATTGACAAAGCAAATAAAAGAAAAATCCACAGTAAATAATTAGTTCAATATAAAACATTAGATATCCCTCATAAAATAATTATCAGTGAAAACATGAACACAATTTTGGATGGCAACTCAGCCATTCTATGCACGAGGAGGGAACGTTTATCTCCGGAATGAGTGCAATCTAGTGGACAGACATGAGAACAACAACGCTGATATCATTTTGAGAGAGAAAATAAACAATAAAAAACCAGACACACACTTGCACACACAAACCCATCCTTTGAAATGTTGAAGTTGGGACTAAAACAGAAAACGGACAGTTTTTTTACGATACAGTGGAAATTCTCGAAGTATTTAAAAAAATAAATAAATACAAACATTATTCACAGCACTGGTTTTGCATTTCACATCGCTAACGCCTTTACAATATATGAAGAAAGACATTAAATTAAAAAGCAAAAATCTCTGTCAAAACACATTACTGAAATTGAAGGTTGTTGGTGTGTGTCTGCAAGTGTGCGTCTTTTTACGCGACTTTAAAAAGATTGTTTAGCCAAAAATGAAAACTTTGTCATCATTACTCACTTTTATGTTATTCCAAACCTGTGTGATTTTATTTATTAGTTTTTTTGGAACACAGAAGAATTTTCATGAAAATACTAAAAAGGAAAAAAAAAATGACTGAAATTCAAGGTTTCAAGTTGAAATTGACTGATTATCTTCCTCGCCTTCTGAAACGCTTTTATTACACCAGGTCTGTTGTCAATGTGACACTGCTTTTTTAAATATGTAAAATGGAGAAGGACATTTGAAAGCTGCAGTAACAGGAATACACACATAAAAGTATCATATGGCTTCAGAGGACTTGGAAAAAGTCACCTGGATTTTTTTTGTGTCCATTTCAGAATCTGACAGTTGTTGTGTTCCACTAAAAATGATCAGCATTCAGGTTTGGAAAGACATGAAGGGGATTCATTTTGGGTTGAACTATGCCTTTAACCGGGAGAGATAATCAAGAGAGGCCTCAGCAAAAGCCTCGTGGTGAGGATTCTTGCGGTCATTGGACACAAACTCTAACACACACTATCACGAGAGAAAGAAATGTCTGTAGAGCAGATTTCAGACGTCATATTGAGTCTAACATATAACTCAGCGCATAAGATGTGCTTTCCCTCTCTTTCACACAAACAAGATTAAAGGAGAAATAAAGCTTAACCCACAACAAATCATTACACATCATTCTTTTACAAAATTACAAAAAAATGCAAGTGATAAAGGAAAGGGCAAACAACAAAATAAAAACAGGAACAGGTATTGATGGAGACAACTGCATCTGATTGGCTGATTAACCAATGACATCACTACTGCACCCTTGGCTTTTAAAGGGTTAGTTCACCCAAAAATGAAAATTATGTCATTAATTACTCGACCCTCATGTCGTTCCAAACCCATAAGACCTTCGTTTGTCTCCGGAACACAAATTAAGATATTTTTGATGCATTCTGAGAGCTCTCTGACCCTCCCATAGACAGCAATGTAATTAACACGATCAAGATCCAGAAACGTAAGGACATCGGTAAAATAATCGGCATTGTTTGCGCTTTGATCTGAATGAAAACAATGTATCCATGTGATGCAGCTGACACAGAACAGCAAACGCTGTTTACGTATATGTGATACTCTGCAAAATGGCGCCAGGGTGACGCGGAGGAGATGAATTGTTGAATAAAGTCGTTATTTATTTTTCCTTTGCGCACCAAAAGTAATCTCGTAGCTTCGTAATATTACGGTTGAACCCCTGATGTCACATGGATTATTTTACCGACGTCCTTACGTTTCTGGACCTTGATCGTGTAAGGATCCTTGCTGTCTATGGGAGGGTCCGAGAGCTCTCGGATTTGATCAAAAATATCTTAATTTGTGTTCCGAAGATGAACGAAGGTCTTACAGGTTTGGAACGACATGAGGGAGAGTAATTAATGACAGAATTTTCATTTTTGGGTGAAGTACCCCTTCGAGTATCAATTGAAGTCTAAATCACACGTACAGCTATTTGAGTAAATCTCACTTCATCCCAAATGAAAAAAAATGAACAATGTATACATTTTGAATGATGAATTAATCAGTATGAATTAATTTACAGTCCTTTTTTTTAATATGTGTTACGGAATTTCATTTATGCTAATTCTAATAAGTGATTTTTTTTCTCATTACTGCAATGAGAACGAGGATTTTGTTTGTCATTACGGTAATGAGAATAAGACTTTTTAGTCATTACAGTAATGAGAATGAGGATTTTTTTCTGGCCGTTATAGTAATGAAAATTTAATTTGTTATTACAGTAGTGAAAATTAGATGTTATTGACATTACAGTAATGAGAATGAGGATTTTATTGCCATTATTGTAATGAGAATGAGGATTTTATTATCATTGTGGTAATGAAAATGTTTTTTTTTATTACGGTACAGAGAATAAAATGTTTCTTATTATGATAATGTGAATTAGATTTTTTTTTTGGCCATTACGGTAATGAGAATGAGATTTTTTTTGGTTGTTATAGTAAAAAGAATACAATTTTATTGTCAGTATGGCAATGTGAATTAGATTTTTGTCACTACGGTAATGAGAATGAGATAATTTGTGTGAGGGGGGGGCATTATTTTTAATGAAAATAAATGGCAAAACATCGTAAAATAAGCTTCATTATTTAGGCTATACATTTTTATAATGTGTCGATGCATGACCCAGACATGTTTCTGGAGAGATTCACCCAAATAAGGTCAAAACAGTTCTCTGTTTTCCCACATCTGTGCTGTACGTTAATATCTAGTGGCCAAATCAGTGACTTGGGAGAAATTCAAGTGCTGTCACACAAAATCGTCTCGTCACACGTGCACACACACTTAAATACTTGCTACGATATATAAATAAATAATCAGCTGTCAGTGGACGAGGGAGAACAGGTTCGCAAAAGGAGATCGAGCAAAATACACATGGAACGGAAAGGATGCCCACAGATGTAGTGCTGGACACTTTGCATGATGGGAAGGGAGTACAAGCAAGGTCTAGAAAATAAGCTAGCTGTCTAAGAGACATGGAAGAGACGTCTAGGGTCAGTGTAATGATGATGCAGGATGAGGGCAATAACACTATCTGGTGACCTGACAGTAAGGCACAGTGCTCTGTTTGCGTCAATCATTCATGCTGCTGAAAGAAAAACTAGAACTCTGATGACAAATAGCCTATATCGCTTTCCCTTCCTTCTCCTCTGCTTCCGCTCTCTTCCCTTTTAGGTCTGGCGCCACTATGCAGACAGATGTTCATTCTTTAGCACCAGAGAATTACACTACTTTCATTCGCCTCCATGCAAACTCCGCTACAGTGTCCTGTAGAGATTCCTTGTTGGGAACTTAACGGTCTTCACGTCTAGCAAAACGAAGCAAACCCATTAAGCCCAGTCTGCACAATGTCGCACCGGGCTGATCGTTAAAATCTGCTTCCATGCTGACGCTGCATACTAAACGTCTGGAGAGGTACAATGGACACAGTAGCAGTGCAATCATGGACGTCTTCAACGCGGCATGACTTGTATATAGATGATGAGCTATTCTACAACTTAAATATATTTGGTGCATGTTAAATAAACAGCGTCGTTCAAGTCATGGCAGCTGGCAAGTGCACAGCCAGTGCTGTGTTTGTATTGCACGTCGATCCTTGTGGTTTTGGTCAGGTTTGAGGGCGCATTTATGACGGCAGTCTCTTGTCAAAACCGTCAAAACGAACGTGTCAGTGCCAAATCCTTTAGGCAGGCGAGCATTGTGCAGCTGAGGCAAAAGGAAAGCGTTACCATTTGACAGACCTGTGTTTGGTCCTTGTGCCTTTCCTTGCTGTTTGCTTTTTGTATTCTTGTTTGCTAAATTGCTTCCTTTTTTCGCATTTTTTTTGTTTTCAAGATGGCCGCCTGGCTGAATGCCACCTCAGTCCCGTCTGGGTCGTAAGAGAGGTGGGCTGTGAGAATGAATCGACGGGGATTTGAATACACAACCAGAATGCGTTCCTGCGGCCCCTTGCTGTGTTTGCTGAGATAATGAAGGGCGGAGTGACGAGGGGGCGGGGTTTGAGGGCTGCTGAAGGTGGGGTGATGAGGGAACGGGTGGAGGTTGGCAGTAGTCTCATAATTTCTGCTTTCCTGAGACGATACTGCGATGGAGCTCTGCATTCAGCTCCACATACTGTCCCTTAGTGCAGTCCAGGAAGTAGAGTTTGTCAGAGACGACGCTGGGATCGAATCCCTCCCGTCGCATGTCTGTCTTCTGGAATTTGAAAGTCCCTGAAAGAAAAGAAAAAAAAAACAGCAAACTTATATTTTTATGCTATGCATTGGTGTACTGCACATTTTTTGACTCAATTATCTGTAGTTCAAGGGTGCACATAAAAATAATTCATTCAGTGATTTTTTTTTTCAAACTTCAGATTTTGATAAAGCCTTAGACTGTATATCTTCCCCAATTGTCAAATTTAATTAAACCCTGAACATGTCAGAGAAAGGCTGCCCTAAAATGAGGAGATGGTGCAATATAACTTATGTCATGTCAAGTTACAGGTTCCATAAATAAGATACAGTACAGTACAATACAAAACGTTCATTCGTGTTTACAGAGTATCTGCAGAGGTTTAGAAATGAAAATATAAGACCTGCAGAAATAAAAATAATACTCTGTATGCCTATGTAGAACAAACCTATACAACCTCAAAATACATCAGAATAGTTTACTTCAATACTATCAATACATATGAATTAGAAGTTGACTAAAATTAGATTTTGCTGACACTAAGAATATGTTTAAAGAAAGGCAATAAACAGAGAGTTGCTACTAGTAAAATCTATATATTGAAAATGTTCTTATTCATTCCTTTCTATGACAAGATTGAATTAAATGCCAGACACAGTTTATTGTGTAACAATAATACCAATAATATCCAGAAAAAAATTGCAGCAAATTCTGCATAATATAGGACATTTAATGTTAAACATGCCAGAAATACAAAGGACTTTTAATTTAAAATGTCTATGCTTTACTTCTTCCGGCTGATCATTCAAAAAGATCAGATAAAATATGCACTCTTACAACCATCTATAACATATGATAATATAAAGAGCATAACGCACATTGCCATAATTCATCCATAGTAGCCCAATAAGCAATCGCTTGGAATACATGTTTGGTATTCACTGCTCTGAAACTCTTGAGCCTGTTTTTACTTTGAAACTTGCAGTGCCTCACATTTATTTAATTAAATAACAGACCAGTTTTGAATTTTAATAGCCACATTATGCCATACTGTAGCATGATTCCGTTTTTTCATACCTCCTAAAATATTTAGGAATTTTGCTATACGATTTATAAAAAATGTAAGACTTTTTAGGATCTTAAATCTGGACAAACTACATTTGAGAAATGTTTAAACTTTAAGGACCTGCGTGAACCCTCATTATATTTAGTGGTGTCTTGAAAATGGCTGAGAAACAGCTCTTTAAATGCTTTTATAGGAACATTGCTTTAGATATGGCAGCAATGACGTGTTGCATCATTTAAGGCAGAATGGAAAGCGTAAAACCTTCGTTCATCTTCGGAACACAAATTAAGATATTTTGGACGTAATCCGAGAGCTCTCTGATCCTCCATAGACAGCAACGCACAGAAACGTAGCAAGAACATCGGTAAAACAGTCCATGTGACATCAGGGGTTTAATCGTAATTTTCTAAGAAGCTACGAGAATACTTTTTGTGTGCAAAGAAATCAAAAATAACAACTTTATTCAACAATTCTTCTACTCCTCATCCCATCTCCAGCGACGAGCTGCCATTGTGGACAGCCTCACAATGCATGCGTTTGCTTCCGCGTCAAGGACACGACGCATGCGCATGGTGCAGCTGCTTATGTAACACGCACATGCGTCAGAAAGCTCTCGGATTACATAAAAAATATCTTAATTTGTGTTCCGAAGATGAACAAAAGTCTTACGGGTTTGGAACGACCTGAGGGTGAGTAATTAATGAAAGAATTTTCATTTTTGGGTGAACTATCCCTTTAAGTTTAGGTATTGGGTAGCAGTGTTAATTTTGACAGCAAATTTTGATTTAGTCATAGTCTTTTGACTATAATGACATGTAGTTTTAGTCAGAAAGAATTCATCTGAATTGTTTTTAGTTTTAGTCTAGTTTTAGTCGACTAAATCTACAGTAAATTTAGTCGGCTAAAATCGAATGGGTTTAGTTACAGTGCATTTATTAAGCATTTCTCTAAAATTTCCAAACTCATTATATAGGTTTGATATTAAGGTTTTATCATGATAGACACCGATTTAACTGCGGTGACACACAACACGCTTTCATGTTAAAATTAAATAAAAACACTTCTCATAAAGAACAAGAACATGGTCTTCTTTTTAATGAAATACCAATGCTTATATAGGCTAATTATGCATTCTTTATAACAACTTGTTTACCATATTCTTCATTCTTTCAAGCAGACATATTTATTTCTATAAATAAATTTAGATTAATCTTTAGGGCTACAAAAAGTTTTCAGTCAAGAGCAGTGCGTGATTTTCTGTCTTTCTTTTGTTGCTTGATTAACACCAATGACTCGGACAATAGTAACTAAATTACCGGATGCACGGATGAAATGTACTGATACACGTTCTCCCTGCTGTTTACGTTTACTTCAGACGTAATAACTGTGTTTACGTGAATACTCGTCAAAACAGACAATTCTACATCATTTTGTGTGTAATTCTCCGTTCATGCGACGCAAAAGAGTACTCGCGCGCTGTGAGACGCGCTTTCTGTGTGTGTGCTTCAGTGTCTGCGAGTTCTCTCTTGCGTCGTCAGATTTATCCATATGTCTGCTCTTCTCTTACTCCCACATATTGACATTCTTTAACGTTTTATGCGACGTGCAGCAAGTGTATGTTAGCTCATGTCCCGCCGGTTCAAATGTACGCATCTAACCTCCGAACCACGCAGCAGATTCGTTCTGAATGAATCGCTTCCCAAATCATCCCTCCCTAACATTTTCGTCTCGTTTTTATTCGTTGACGAAAATGTTAATAGATTTACGTCATAGTTTTTGTTATTCAAAAATAGTTTTAGTTCGTTATCGTCTCGTTGTCGTCAGTGAAAAATATGTCGTTGACGAAAATTATTTGTCAACGAAATTAACACTGTTGGGTAGGATGTAGAAAATGGTCATGCAGAATAAGTGCTTTATAAGCACTAATAAACAGCCAGTATGTTAATAATAGGCATGTTAATAAGCAACTAGTTAATAGTGAGCATTGGTCCCTATACTAAAGTATTACTAGAAGGACAAACAGAAAAACAGAAAAGATGAGAAATGTGTGATTACCTGGCACCTCCACTCCATACACCACCACATCTTTCATGTCCAGCAGGCGGCTCAGCGTTCCCTCCACCTCAGTGGTGGAGACGTTCTCTCCTTTCCAGCGGAACGTGTCTCCTGTGCGGTCTTTGAAATACATGTAGCCATAGTCGTCCATCACCAGCACGTCCCCTGAGAGAGGAGAAGCCAACAACTGCTATTATCTAGCTGAGCATATGGAAGTAAGTGTGCGCTTGTGTAGAGCATTTTCAAATACGATACCTGAGAGATAGGCACTATCTCCTTTTTTGAAGACATCGTGAGCGACCTTTTTATTAGTGGCTGATTGATTGACGTAGCCGTCAAATCGTCTGAGAGGGTCGTTTTGAATGATTCGGCCAACCAACTGACCAGGTTCTCCTGAGAAACAAAATAAGGAAATGGATTTTAAATAAGATTTTTGCATTTTCTATAGAGGTCAAAAGAGAAACATAATTAAGGCCAATATATAATTTTTACCTATTTGCATTGGCTGATGAGATTTTCTGTTTGACTTTTATTACGATAGCACTAAGAAAGTCAGTGCTTGAATGCTTAAAGTCCGCGCGAACTGGAATTTGCAGCCGACTTTATTTCAGCGTAGTGACGTATTTCCAGCTGAAACGGAATATTGAATAGCGGGCGGGGATTTATGTTTGTGCTCCTCCTCTCTGTCTCTCACTCATAGCAACCTAACGGTTGGATGGGCGTGTTTAAGGACATTCTGCCCGAGCCGTCAAACTGACGTCATCAGAAAAGAAATGCCATTCCAGAGCGGAAGCAAATGTTCGGATTTTGATTAAAGATTACCAGGACAAACTTTTTTTTTTTAGCGGATTAACTTGCACGGAGTAATTGTTCACATCAAGACTAGCAATGTGCGCTAATAAAGTAAATAAAGCCAATTTTGATTTCATGCGGGCTTTAAGTACAGGAGCTCTAATTCATTAGTTTACGTTTTTTATTTCAGTTCTGTTTAATAAATTATATGTACTGTATGGAAAAATTGTATCATTTGAGAAAATAGGTTCCCATTCAGTCAGTCACGTTCTACGTTACGTCAGTGACTGACGAATTGGGATCTCGCCCGAGAGCCCAATCACCTTCGAGTGTTATGTGTAATTCCATGCTTAGTATCTGGATGCCTGCTCTCTAAGAAATCAGCATTTGCCAATGAAAAATCTCTATTGGCCGACCACTAATCATCTATTTTCTTGCCTGTAAAAATTCTTTCCATTTATTTATATAGCACTTTTCACAATACACATTGTTTCAAAGCAGATTTACAGAAAATCTTGACGTTAATGTTTATCTTAATATCTTCATGCCTTATAGTCGCATTTAGCATGTTAGAGCTGAGCGATACTGTAACTAACATTTCCAACGATATAAGCAGTTAAGCAGTTGAGATATGAACAGTTGAAATTTGTTGATGATATAATAAATTATTTTTCAATGACATAATCAGGCAGTTGAGTTTTGCTATACAAGAGTATACTGTATTTCCTGTATCTACCTATACTGGGTACCGTTCACATTTTAACTGGTACGGTACCGGTATCGGTACCTGAATTTCAGAGCAGGTACCCAACGGTACCTTTTTTCGGTACTTTACTCTCTGTGTAATTACAAAAACATTTATTTCAGTGAAAAAATACGTTCAAAAGTCTCAATTTCAACATATTGAACAATAGGGACCTACAAACTTTTTCTTTCTTTTTTATTCCCCCCCAGAAATTCTTGTGTTAATTCTTCTGAAAACCAAATGAAGGCATTAAACATTTATTTTAAATCAAATGAAAATTAAACCCTTTTATTTTTTTGCCAAACAAACTGAGGTTTACTGTTGAAATTAATACATGGAAGAAAGATTTTGTGAATATTCCTATAAAACATTTTTAATTGGCTAATAATTGTATTATTTTGTTCTACAATTAAGTGATTAATCTAGTTGTAATATTTGATTTTATCATTTAATTGTTTTATTTAAATTTCATAGAAAATGGAATATTTAAAGATGTACATTATACTGTACAAAAGTAATACAAGAGTAATATATTTCTTTTACATGCTAAACCGTACTTTTATTTTGACAGGTTGCCATGAAGTGTGTATACAGTATGATGATGCTAGTTTTCTCAAATGAAATGGACTCTCACAGCAGCTCTGGAGATTAAGTTTTGTGTTCATGCCGTCATATAGTGAGACGCAGAGGCCGGAAATCACCGCGAGCGTCACGTGTGCTTCAGTATTTGTGTAGTAAACAAAACCGCAAGCGGAACATGCAGGATTCATATTTAAACCGTCTTTTTGCCTTTTAATATTCACAGACACTAGTTCATATCGCGATTCGAATTAAGTGGCAGTGGCTACTTTTGATTTATTCGTCCAAAATTGACGAATTCCGTGGCATTCCGCGCTATAGAGTAAATTACGTTTTTATGAACGGACTCCACGATCCTGTCCTCGTTTTCGCAGAAACCATATGGCCCTAGAAATGTAACCACACTTCAGAACATTTCGGCTTGCCCTGTGTGTTGATTGAACGAGTTGCAGGGGTGACATCACGTCACAGGGTCTCTCTTTCTCTCTCTGTAGCGTATTCGCCCAGATGCGTTCTCAGATAGCGAAATTTGGCACGATTGATTTAATGTGAATCGGTACTCGGTAGTACCAACGCAATTCGGTTGGTACCCTTAAAAGTACAGAGTTCGGATCCCAGTCTTAGCGCACATATGGCAAAATGATTTCTCTTTTGCTGCTGATTGCGTTTCAGTGGCTTAAAAATCACTTGTTTTTAAACCGCAATGCTTAAAAACATGTGTTTTCATGACCACGTAGAACAACAATGTCACATGAGCCTGTAACCGTGATAGAGAAGATAGTACAAAATCTCTACTGGTGACAAATTTCTACCGGTTAATCATGTCTACCGGTATACTGCCCACCCCTTATATGAGTTATTCATCAATTCAAGCCTTTGTGCTTGGCATGAGTGTGAGGGAGTACTGTACCTGGACCACACGGGATACAGACTCCATCAGGTCCTCTGATGAGCTCCATGGTCTCCTCGTCCACCTTGACTAAGCGGATGGGGTAAAAGTAGGGCAGGATCCGGCTATTGAATCCACAGGCACCCGTCTGCAGTCGAAACAACATGTTACAACCACTATCCACTCTTCAAAACTAAATACTACTAAGCAAATTAAACCAGTCACAGCATTTCCATCAGCACCTTAAATAGCCCATAACCACCTGTGCTTGATTACTGAACATCTTGTAGATGGCCTCATAAAATTTATGGTAACACACAATCAAATTGCTGCGTATGTATCCTTTTCCATATGCATTATCCACTACTGTAGAGGTTTACAACTGTGTTACTCATAAAGGCTGTTGACAGACACTCCATCTAAAGTGCGCTTTTGTCAGGGCAGACCTTGTTATCGAAGTTGCCCAGGCTACAGTTGCACTCGGTGGCGCCGTAGAACTCTGCGATCTGTGGGACGTTGAAGCGGGTGGTGAATTCCTCCCAGATGGACTGACGAAGGCCGTTACCGAGGGCCATGCGGACCTTGTGTTGGTGCTCTGTGTCCTTCTTCGGCTGATTCAGCAGATAGCGGCAGATCTCGCCAATGTACTGCACTATCTGAGACATAAAATCAAATATCAGTTTTCAAAACTCCCTTTAAGCTCCATTTCCATGCAGAACATTAATATTAATAACATAATTTGCAATCACACAACTATAACATCAAAGCAGAGGCCTGAAAGTCCTGGGGATATTTACTGAATGCACAATATATTGAATATGGTTTTGTTTGCCATATAAAATTATGCAAAATTGCAATGATTTGAATGATCTGCTCTATTTAGCCTTGAAAGACCATGTCAGTAGGTGGATTTCAAGTCAACAACTTATGTTGTGACTCATGAATACGAGCAAAATTCAGTGACAAAAATTGGTTGAGAACCGTGAGATATTGTACTGGTATCGCTACAGGAACGCCCTTTCACAATTTTGTATCACTCTGCTTGTTTTTTTTTTTTTATTATTCACTGAGCTAATCGTAGAGTACGTTAGTTAATATATAAAGAAACGTCTAGCTTCGCGGTCTCTCTCTCTCTCATTTGGATGCACGTCTTGCCACATTGTAATATTTAGAAAATATTTACATGCATATATTTATATTCTTATATTTTATATTATATATAAATATATTTAACATATAAACATAACATATTTTTCATGAATATATACATTCATGTGTTTGTATTTATATATACATAATAAATATACACAGTATACACACATATATTATGTAAACAAAAACTTTTATTTTGGATGCGATTAATTGTTTGACAGCACTAATATATATATATGCAGGTATATATACACATATATACACACACACAACACAAACAAACAAAAAACAATAAAAGAGTATATAGAAAAAATTCAAATTTTCTATTTGAATATTTTTAAATGTAATTTATTCCTTTGATGCAAAGCTGAATTTTCAGCATCATTACTCCAGTCTTCAGTGTCACATGATCCTTCAGAAATCATTCTAATATGCTGATTTGGTGCTCAAGAACAATTTCTGTTTATCATCAATGTAAAAAACAATTGTGCTTCTTTATATTTTAGGGGAAATCCTGATGCATATTTTCAAGATTCTTTGATGAATTGAAAGTTCAAAACACCAGCATCTTTTGTAGCATTATAAATGTCTGACCAATTTAATGCGTCCTCTCTGAATAAAACTATTAATTTGTTTAAAAAATAAATAAAAAGCTGTATATTCACCCAGCACAAACTGAAGAACTATACTATATAGACAAACTGAATTCTTGTATATTTCATAATAACATAACATCCATTACTCACTGTGCAGTTGTATTTGATACAGTCATCCCAGAACTTTGATGCGCTGAACTTCTTCCTGATCACTACAGTCATTCCATGGATCAGACACTGTCCAACTCCCACTATGTTACCTGCCAGAGAGAACAGCACCGACCTCAGAACAAACCTACCGATTACTTACAGATTCAAGACTCGCATATGCTTAAATAAGAAAACATAAAACAAACTAAGCTGTTTTTCTTAAAAGAGCACTGGACAAGTCATAGGACCTTATGTAGACATCCATCGAAACAAACCACAAAACTGTCACACAGGAAGTAGCCTGAACCAAACTCTGTGACAGGAAATGCACATATGAAGAAGGTGTAGAGAAGCCTGTGTTCAGTGATGTACCGGCTGAGTGGTAAAGTGGTAAACAGTCATAAAGCACATCCTCAGACTTCATTCTGAAACCATAGTACACCAAGGCAGCCATGCGGTAATACCTGAGGGAGGAACGCAGGAAAGATGGGGTGAAAAACCGGGAGCTTGATTCATTGAGAGAAAAAAATGAAGGAGAAAGCAGGGAAGGAGAGACTGTGAGAAATGGAGAAATGAACATTGCCACACACATACCGACTGTGTACAACAATAGCAGCTTTGGGCATTCCAGTGGTTCCCGACGTGTAAATGTAAAAGAGGCGATCTGGAGGCAAAGAAGAAGATAAACTATCAAGAATCTAATTGTTCATGTGATTTTTAACACTCTTTAAAGGTCTTTTTAAAAGTTAAATAAATAAAAAAACAAAAGTATTATTTTAGTATCATTGAGTTCATATTATAATTTTTATTAATATTTTATTGTTGCCTGACTGTCACTCTCTAATTTTTTTATTAGATTTATTTTTAGATTTTGTTTTAAAAATGAATGTCTTAATTCATTTTAAGCTGAATTAAAGTTTTAGTAACTTTTTTAGTTTTAAAAATATTTCTCTAGAATTTGTATTAACTTTTATTTAAATTTTAGTTTTGGACAAACTAAATGAAAATGAGAAATACTGCCTTGGCAACTAGATGGGAAAAAAGTTTACGTTTTTTCAAATTTTTTTATTTCAGTTAAATTTTATTTTATTTCAAGTAACAAAAATGCTTTTTTTATGGTTTTGGTTTTAGTTAACTATAATAACCCTTACAGGAAATATTCAGGCCCAATTCAATGCCAGATTTTCAAAATTCCTTGGAAAAAGGTTTGAATGTCTTTTTAAAAATGTCATAATAATAATAATAGACATTCAGCATAAAGAAACGTTTTTTTTTCTAATTTTTTTATTTCAGTTAAATTTTATTTTATTTCAAGTAACAAAAATGCTTTTTTTATGGTTTTGGTTTTAGTTAACTATAATAACCCTTACAGGAAATATTCAGGCCCAATTCAATGCCAGATTTTCAAAATTCCTTGAAAAAGGTTTGAATGTCTTTTTAAAAATGTCATAATAATAATAATAGACATTCAGCATAAAGATAAAAATGAAAGGTTTTAAAAAATAAATAATAATTGCAATACAACATTTCATTACATAGAATGACTAGAATGAGTCCATAGTGATATACAATTTTATTTATTTTTTGTATTTAAATGTTTAAATAAAATGTTTAAACTCTGTGTCTGACTGTCTTGCCTGTGAAGCTGCGATCTGGTTGTCTGGGCTGGTTTGTAGAGGTCGCCTCCAGCAGCGGCTCGAGATGCTCCGTCCCTTCAGGAACCCGTTTGGGGTCCCATTCTCCAGAGCAGAGGAGCTTAACAGTCTTTCCCATGGAGCTGTGCACCTCACACATCGCTGAGACAGTGAAAGAGCGGGAGAAATAGATGAAGTAACCATCACGGAGACAAATAAAGTGACAAAATGAGTCTAGAAGAAAGCACAGGACGAACAAACGGCCGGAAATGTGAAATCAATAAGAAACGAAGCTGACTCAACATGGCATGCTTTATGAGTCAGTTTCCAATTACTTAAGAGACGACTAGCAAACTCGATTTCATTAGGATTTCGCTGTCGTTCATGACCTCTGGTATGAATTCTCTTTGGTGCAGTGAGGTTATTTCACTACGAGTTACACACAGTCACCTCTGGCCATAATAAATCTGAACTCTGCGCTACTCATTCATTTCTCTAGAGTACACACTCTCGTCTTTGTCCAAGTGCCACTTCCTTATTTGCTTTCTGTAGTGTCATTGCAACACTTCTGAACTGCCGCTTTAACCGAGACTATATTGAGCCAACAGATCAAAAATATAAATCCTTGTCTAAAGTCAACATGAAATCGCACTATTTACTCTCCTATTAAACATTTTGGTTTTATGGTGCAAGACGCATCAGTGCACACAAAAAAAAAAGATGACAAAGTCAGACTTTTTAAAAAAATTTTTTTTTACTTAAAATATAACTTGATCTGCCTCTGAAAAAAATTTATTTCACAGATCCAGAAATTTCCTTAATCCCTTCTGGTACATAATGATCACAAAATGATAATGCTCCATATTGTAATGACCAGTGTTGGCCATTAACTAAAAATGCTACTAACATAACTAGTTTTGTTTTATTTATTTTTTTCTCAAAAAAAAAGAAAAAAAGAAAAAGTGTAGGTTTTCCAGAAACAATCTACCATTCCCAACAAGCAAAGCTGTAGAGTTGGGTAGCCTGATTAATTTTAACGAAGAAGTTTGCTTGGACGGTTAAAAAAAAAAAAAGTGCAGAAAACGCAAACTTAATTTTTGAGGAAATATTTCGTGAAAATTACTTAAAGGGATAGTTCACCCAAAAATGAAAGTTTGATGTTTATCTGCTTACCCCCAGGGCATCCAAGATGTAGGTGACTTTGTTTCTTCAGTAGAACACAAAACGATCGGTCTGTGCAAGAAACTGAACACTATTTATATCGTTTTTTTTACCTCTGATGCACTGCAATGTCTGAACTGTCCTGAGCGGACGCGTCTTCTTCTTCTTCTTGCTTTACGGCGGATCGCAGACTTATAAGTGCATTACCGCTACCTATCTCTCAAGTGGACCATTGACACTCCCAATTGAGATTGTAGATAGAGTGACAATGGTCCATTTGAGAGATAGGTGGCGGTAATGCACTTATAAGTCTGCGATCCGCCGTAAAGCAAGAAGAAGACGACACGTCACGCACCGGCTGTCGAGGACACGCTCGGGACAGTTTGGACATTGCATGAATCAGAGGTAAAAAAACGATATAAATACTGTTGACTTTCTTGCACAGGCCGATCGTTTCGTGTCTTTACACATCAATGTATCATCACGAGCCGCAGGGTTTAATTTGGTTTTGTTTGTGTAAGTTTTTTTGACTCTCAAAGCTGTTATTCCCATTCACTTCCATTATAAGACTGACAGACTGCAACGGTTTGAGTTAAAAATCTCAGTTTGTGTTCTACTGAAGAAACAAAGTCACCTACATCTTGGATGCCCTGGGGGTAAGCAGATAAACATCAAATTTTCATTTTTGGGTGAACTATCCCTTTAATTTTCCCAACAAATAGCAATGTAGAATGACAAATTTCTACATTACTTGCGCATTTTTAAAATGTTGAGCAGATATTGTATTTTGATTCATTTTAGTGAATCAATTTGTTTGGATGGTTCATAAAAAGGGGGCAAATTCATTCCCAGTTCAGACATTTTACATCTTCATTTTCAGGAAATAATTTGTGGAGATATGTTTCAGATATTACTTAATTTCCCCAACAAACAGTAATGTAGAATGACTAAATGCTACACTGATACTTGCGCATTTCTAAAGTGTTGAGTATTTTGATTCATTTTAGTGAATCGGTTTGTTGGTTAAAAAAAGGGGTCAGAATTAATTCCCAGTGCAGACATTTTACATTTTCATTTTCAGGAAATAATTTGTGGAATTATTTTTGAGAAATGACTTAATTTTCCCAACAAGTAGGGATGCAGAATGACAAAATGTTGCGGTAGCAATGAGATTCATTTTACCGAATCAGTTTGCTTGGATTGATAAAAAAAGATTCATTTCCAGACATTTTACACATTCATCTTTCAGGAAATATGTTGAAGAAATAACTTCCTTTTCCCAACAAGTAGCAATGTAGACCAACCCTTAAGAAAATTAACCATAGTTTTATTATAGTAAAAATGTAGTTACCATGTTTTTTTGGCGTATTGATTACCATTGGTATAACCACAGTTTTACTACAAATACCATGGTTAAACTATGGTTACTGTAACTATATACATAGTTTAACTATAGTAACCATGGATTTTTGGTTTTATTTGTAGTAAAACCATGGTTCATTTTCATAAGGGAAGTTTGATTTTAGTGAATTTGTTTGTTTATGCAGTTCATTTCATTGCCTGCAATTGACAAATACTGCATCTGAAAGTTAAACATTTAAAACTATATTTCCCCTGTAAACAGCCTAAAAATAGATAGGTAAGGTGTGTTAGTAGTTTGTAGCATAGATAAATACTTCTTCAAAAGCATGGTTTGACTGTGCTTGGGAAGCCACAGTTTCATAGTAGTTTCCTCATCACTGATGACTGTCAACTCTCTTCTCACCATCTGTCAGCTCACTGCCGAACACCACGGCTTTGGCGCTGGAGATGTTGACACAGTGCACCAGAGCCTCCAGTCTCAGGTTGAAGTTGATGAGAGCTGCCTCCACTCCGATCTTTGCCATTCCCAGCCAGAGCCCCACGTACTGAGAGCGGTTCTCCATGAACAGAGCGATCACGTCGCCCTCCGTGAAGCCCCTCTGAAGCAGAAGGTTAGCCACGCGGTTGGAGTAGTCGTCAAGCTCCTTGAAGCTCCATTTCTCGTCCGTTCCTTCAAAAATCAGAGCCGTCTTGTCACCGTATTTCTTGACAGACTTGGCAAAAAGTTTGGGAACGGTGTTGCGCTCTCGGAGGTGCTTTTTGACATTCAGTTTTACCCTCAGCAACACACTGGCTGCACTGCAAAAGAACACATTGTGAAATGACATTATGATTATGATGGTTTATTCTGGGCAAATTCTTTAAAACATCTGAGTTTTGAGTAAACGTTTCATTTAAAATAATTACTCAACCAATCAAATCTTTGGAATAATTCTGATGCGTTTACAATGTTTTTGAAAGAAGTCCGTTCTGCTCACCAAGACTGCTATAATGGGAATATTGTGAAATATAATTACTATTTAAAATAACAGTTTTCCTTTTGAATGTGTGTCATTTATTCCTGTGATAGCAAAGCTGAATTTTCAGCACCATTACTCCAGTCACATGACCCTTCAGAAATCATTTAAATATGCTGATTTGCTCAGTCATTATTAATTATTATTGGTGCGCAAATATTAATAAGGGTTCTTATTATAATTAATGTTGATAACTAAAACTAAAAATATTTTTGTGGAAACCTTTTCAGGATTCTTTGATGAATAGCAAGTTAATTTATTTAAAACAGAAATCAATGTAACATTATGAATGTATTTACCTTTTAAAAAAAATCAATTTGTTGTGTCCTTGCTGAATAAAAATAATCTTACATTCTTACAATCTTAAATCAACATTTAAAAGTTGGGGCAAGTATGATGGTTTCCAAATGTATGCAGTAGAAAATGTATAATGATAAGCATTGATAATAATAATATATGTTTCTTGAGCAGCAAATCAGCATATTATTATGATTTCTGAAGGATCACGTGACACTGAAGACTGGAGTAATGATGCTGAAAATTCAGTTTTACATCACAGGAATAAATTACATTATATATTCAAATGTTCACAAAATAATAATATTTTACATGACTGTTTTTACTGTATTTTGATCAAATAAATGCAGCCCGGTTAGCATAGGAGAACTCTGTTGGGAACTCTGATTGCTAGAGGTCACCTCCAGCAGCGGCTCGAGATGCTCCGTGCCTTCAGGAACCCGTTTGGGGTCCCCTTCTCCAGAGCAGGGGAGCTTAACGGTCTTTCCCATGGAGCTGTGCACCTCACACATCGCTGAGACATGTAAAGAGCGAGAGAAACCATCACAGACACAAATAATGCGACAAAACGAGGCTAGAAAACTCCTCATAGGAAGCACAGGACAAACAAACGGCCGGAAATGTGAAATCAATAAGAAACAAAGCTGCCTCAACATGGCATGCTTTATGAGTGAGTTTTCAATTTACTTAAGAGACAACTAGCAAACTCGATTTCATTAAGATTTCGCTGTTGTTCATGACCTCTGGTGCGAATCCTCTTTGGTGCAGTGATGTTACTCACAGTGACCTCTGGCCATAATAAATCTGAACTCTGCGCTACTCATTCATTTGTTTCTCTAGAGTACACACTCGCGTCTTTGTCCAAGTGCCACTTCCTGATTTGCTTTTTGTACACTTCTGAACTGCTGCCTTAACCGAGACAATACTGAGTTCATCAAAAATAAATCCTTCTCTAAAATCAATATGAAATCAAAACTCTATTTACCCATTTTATGACACATTTCTGGTATTATGGTGCAAGATGAATCCGTACACAAATTGTAACTTGATTAGCCTGTGAAACAACCGATTTCACCAATCCAGAAATGACCCGACTCCCTTCTGGTACATAAAAATCACAACCCAGTAATCACCAGAAATGATTACCAATATAATTAAACTGGATTTTATTTAAATGATAATGCTCCATATTGTAATGACCACTTTTGGCCATTAACTAAAACTAACAATATTACTAACTTAACTAGTTTTAGTAGTGTGAGAGTAGTGCAACTGTTTCTTTTTTTTGTGTTTTTTTTTTAAGTGTTGCTTTTCCAGAAACAATCTACCGATCCCAAAGAGTAATGCTGTAGAGTTGGGTAGCCTGATTAATTTTAGTAAAGCAGTTTGTTTGGATGGTTAAAAAAAAAAAGCGTTAATTCCAAGCGCAGAAAAACTTAATTTTTGAGAAAATATTTTGTGGAAATATGTTCCAGATATTCCTTAATTTTCCTAACAAATGGCAATGCAGAATGCTACTTTTATTTCTACTTTTCATTTTTTAAATGTTGAGTATTTTGATTCATTTTAGTGAATTGGTTTGTTTGAATGGTTCAAAAAAGGGGTCAAATTCATTCCCAGTGCAGACATTTTACATCTTCATTTTTCAGGAAATAATTTATGGAATTATTTTTGAGAAATTACTTAATTTTCCCAAGAGGTAGTGATGCAGAATGACAAAATGCTACTTGAGGTAGCACTGAGAAGATGGATTCATTTCAGTGAATCAATTTGCTTGAATGGTAAAAAAAGATTCAAATTAATTTCCAGTGCAGACGTTTTACACATTCATCTTTCAGGAAATATGTTCGAGAAATAACTTAATTTTCCCAACAATAGTGATGTAGACCAAGTTTGATTTGTTTTAGTGAATTTGTTTGTTTATGCCACTGACAAATATTGCATCTGAAAGTTAAACATTTAAAGATATATTTTCAGCCTCAATGTAGTTCGCTAAGCTTTTGTTAGTAGTTTGTAGCTTAGATAACTACTTTATGAATGCAGCTTGGGAAGCGACAGTTTGAAAATAGTTTCCTCATCACTGATAACATTCAAAGCACTTCTCACCATCTGTCAGCTCACTGCCGAACACCACGGCTTTGGCGCTGGAGATGTTGACACAGTGCACCAGAGCCTCCAGTCTCAGGTTGAAGTTGATGAGAGCTGCCTCCACTCCGATCTTTGCCATTCCCAGCCAGAGCCCCACGTACTGAGAGCGGTTCTCCATGAACAGAGCGATCACGTCGCCCTCCGTGAAGCCCCTCTGAAGCAGAAGGTTAGCCACGCGGTTGGAGTAGTCGTCAAGCTCCTTGAAGCTCCATTTCTCGTCCGTTCCTTCAAAAATCAGAGCCGTCTTGTCACCGTATTTCTTGACAGACTTGGCAAAAAGTTTGGGAACGGTGTTGCGCTCTCGGAGGTGCTTTTTGACATTCAGTTTTACCCTCAGCAACACACTGGCTGCACTGCAAAAGAACACATTGTGAAATGACATTATGATTATGATGGTTTATTCTGGGCAAATTCTTTAAAACATCTGAGTTTTGAGTAAACGTTTCATTTAAAATAATTACTCAACCAATCAAATCTTTGGAATAATTCTGATGCGTTTACAATGTTTTTGAAAGAAGTCCGTTCTGCTCACCAAGACTGCTATAATGGGAATATTGTGAAATATAATTACTATTTAAAATAACAGTTTTCCTTTTGAATGTGTTGTAAAATGTCATTTATTCCTGTGATAGCAAAGCTGAATTTTCAGCACCATTACTCCAGTCACATGACCCTTCAGAAATCATTTAAATATGCTGATTTGCTCAGTCATTATTAATTATTATTGGTGCGCAAATATTAATAAGGGTTCTTATTATAATTAATGTTGATAACTAAAACTAAAAATATTTTTGTGGAAACCTTTTCAGGATTCTTTGATGAATAGCAAGTTAATTTATTTAAAACAGAAATCAATGTAACATTATGAATGTATTTACCTTTTAAAAAAAATCAATTTGTTGTGTCCTTGCTGAATAAAAATAATCTTACATTCTTACAATCTTAAATCAACATTTAAAAGTTGGGGCAAGTATGATGGTTTCCAAATGTATGCAGTAGAAAATGTATAATGATAAGCATTGATAATAATAATATATGTTTCTTGAGCAGCAAATCAGCATATTATTATGATTTCTGAAGGATCACGTGACACTGAAGACTGGAGTAATGATGCTGAAAATTCAGTTTTACATCACAGGAATAAATTACATTATATATTCAAATGTTCACAAAATAATAATATTTTACATGACTGTTTTTACTGTATTTTGATCAAATAAATGCAGCCCGGTTAGCATAGGAGAACTCTGTTGGGAACTCTGATTGCTAGCTGAGGTTTTGCAACAGCAAACAGAGAAGTTCACTTTTGATTTAAAAGAAATTCCTCAAAGTCTTAAGACGCTTAGCAATCATGCTTTAGATTACTCAATTCACATTTCAAAACCTACTGTCTTTGAGGAAACACAAGCTGAACCTGCATGGAACAGCCCAGAAACCCATTTCAACAGACACTCAGCTCATAATACCGGAATGTGCGCTTGTGTTCGCTGAGGAACTGTTCAGCCTGATTGAAAGGGCCCAGGTTAATGTATTACGTGATCATTATTCACAAAACCACATCTATAGACATAAATCAGATTACATTCATAAACTTCTTTATCAGTGTATAAGGACTGTCAATTAATACATTACTGAAAAAAATTTAATATTGCATGCATTTAAAAAAACAACTGGATATTTAATATTTTACTTTAATGCATTTACTTAATTTGGCATGATATGAGTTTCATTTCTATAGCATAGAAAGTTGTTACATCAGCTATTACATTATTTTTTGTGTGTTTTGATGTATAGTAGACAAAAACATGAAGTACCTACATACAAATTTCTTTACAATTTTTTAAGAAATGAGTTGGACTAGATAGTGAAGGAAAACCAAGCGTCCAGCTTGTACTGAATTTATGGAATTTAAAATAAAAATTTAAGATATTTAAGACCCATTTCCCTAAAAAAATCTAAGGGTGCTTTCACACTTGGTTCGCGTGCCAGGTCCGAACCCGAGTTCGATTGCTCCCCCCTCCCCCTGCTGGACTGCGTTCGGTTCATATTATTTTATTTGGGTCCGAACCATGGTTCGTTTGCGTCATCAAGCCAGCAGCTTTTTACCCCGTTGCTTAGCGGGAGAAGGCGGCATATAACATTACTCTCTTCACTTTTAGATATTTATGTTTTTGAAACGTTGGTTTTGTTTCCAAAGCTTCGGTACATAACGGCACTTACGTCTGTCTTACGAATGTACTACAAATGCTCTTAAGAATGCTGAAGACGAACAGAAATGAGATATACAGCTCTCTGTTTGCAGTGCGTCAGTCACGCTCGTCTGGAAAGTGAGTGAAAAACACACACAAACACACATTTTCAAATTTAAAAATATTATTTTTTTTAATCAAATAATACGTCATTAATAGCGCTTCACTTCCGCGATTTGGTACGATTGGGTTCACATCAGCAGCGAACCGTACCGGAGTTCACTTGAACCGTACCCCAGACCACCCTTTTTAAGCGGACTCGGGAACGGTTCGCGGGTGCGCACCCGAGTTCGAAAGACAGCGTTCACATCATCCAAACGAACCGAACTCTGACGTCAATCGAACCCGGGTGCGCACCAAAAGTCCTAGTGTGAAAGCACCCTAAAACTAAATTTGGATTCACTTGATGAAAACATAAAAAATAAAACAAAATCTCTGTAAAAATATTACAGTTCATTAAAATATGACATATAATTAGCTGACATGATAAATATGGGACACTGTTAAAAAATCATCCCAGGATGCACATCCCAGGAATTTGGTGGAGAAAATTTCCAGAATGTGCAGAGCTGGAATTTAAACAAAGGGTGGAAAGCTAAAATAGAGGATATTTTGGATTTATTTTAATTTGACATTTTTGGTCCCTTATATTCCTTATTTTCATATTGTGTTTCTGTATTTTTTTAAAGATTTTGATGACTTGTAGAGAATGTAGTGAAGTACATAAAGTATATACTGTGCATATATATATATATATATATATATATATATATACGGCTTTGGCGCTGGAGATGTTGACACAGTGCACCAGAGCCTCCAGTCTCAGGTTGAAGTTGATGAGAGCTGCCTCCACTCCGATCTTTGCCATTCCCAGCCAGAGCCCCACGTACTGAGAGCGGTTCTCCATGAACAGAGCGATCACGTCGCCCTCCGTGAAGCCCCTCTGAAGCAGAAGGTTAGCCACGCGGTTGGAGTAGTCGTCAAGCTCCTTGAAGCTCCATTTCTCGTCCGTTCCTTCAAAAATCAGAGCCGTCTTGTCACCGTATTTCTTGACAGACTTGGCAAAAAGTTTGGGAACGGTGTTGCGCTCTCGGAGGTGCTTTTTGACATTCAGTTTTACCCTCAGCAACACACTGGCTGCACTGCAAAAGAACACATTGTGAAATGACATTATGATTATGATGGTTTATTCTGGGCAAATTCTTTAAAACATCTGAGTTTTGAGTAAACGTTTCATTTAAAATAATTACTCAACCAATCAAATCTTTGGAATAATTCTGATGCGTTTACAATGTTTTTGAAAGAAGTCCGTTCTGCTCACCAAGACTGCTATAATGGGAATATTGTGAAATATAATTACTATTTAAAATAACAGTTTTCCTTTTTGTAAAATGTCATTTATTCCTGTGATAGCAAAGCTGAATTTTCAGCACCATTACTCCAGTCACATGACCCTTCAGAAATCATTTAAATATGCTGATTTGCTCAGTCATTATTAATTATTATTGGTGCGCAAATATTAATAAGGGTTCTTATTATAATTAATGTTGATAACTAAAACTAAAAATATTTTTGTGGAAACCTTTTCAGGATTCTTTGATGAATAGCAAGTTAATTTATTTAAAACAGAAATCAATGTAACATTATGAATGTATTTACCTTTTAAAAAAAATCAATTTGTTGTGTCCTTGCTGAATAAAAATAATCTTACATTCTTACAATCTTAAATCAACATTTAAAAGTTGGGGCAAGTATGATGGTTTCCAAATGTATGCAGTAGAAAATGTATAATGATAAGCATTGATAATAATAATATATGTTTCTTGAGCAGCAAATCAGCATATTATTATGATTTCTGAAGGATCACGTGACACTGAAGACTGGAGTAATGATGCTGAAAATTCAGTTTTACATCACAGGAATAAATTACATTATATATTCAAATTTTCACAAAATAATAATATTTTACATGACTGTTTTTACTGTATTTTGATCAAATAAATGCAGCCCGGTTAGCATAGGAGAACTCTGTTGGGAACTCTGATTGCTAGCTGAGGTTTTGCAACAGCAAACAGAGAAGTTCACTTTTGATTTAAAAGAAATTCCTCAAAGTCTTAAGACGCTTAGCAATCATGCTTTAGATTACTCAATTCACATTTCAAAACCTACTGTCTTTGAGGAAACACAAGCTGAACCTGCCAGGAACAGCCCAGAAACCCATTTCAACAGACACTCAGCTCATAATACCGGAATGTGCGCTTGTGTTCGCTGAGGAACTGTTCAGCCTGATTGAAAGGGCCCAGGTTAATGTATTACGTGATCATTATTCACAAAACCACATCTATAGACATAAATCAGATTACATTCATAAACTTCTTTATCAGTGTATAAGGACTGTCAATTAATACATTACTGAAAAAAATTAAATATTGCATGCATTTAAAAAAACAACTGGATATTTAATATTTTACTTTAATGCATTTACTTAATTTGGCATGATATGAGTTTCATTTCTATAGCATAGAAAGTTGTTACATCAGCTATTACATTATTTTTTGTGTGTTTTGATGTATAGTAGACAAAAACATGAAGTACCTACATACAAATTTATTTACAATTTTTTAAGAAATGAGTTGGACTAGATAGTGAAGGAAAACCAAGCGTCCAGCTTGTACTGAATTTATGGAATTTAAAATAAAAATTTAAGATATTTAAGACCCATTTCCCTAAAAAAATCTAAGGGTGCTTTCACACTTGGTTCGCGTGCCAGGTCCGAACCCGAGTTCGATTGCTCCCCCCTCCCCCTGCTGGACTGCGTTCGGTTCATATTATTTTATTTGGGTCCGAACCGTGGTTCGTTTGCGTCATCAAGCCAGCAGCTTTTTACCCCGTTGCTTAGCGGGAGAAGGCGGCATATAACATTACTCTCTTCACTTTTAGATATTTATGTTTTTGAAACGTTGGTTTTGTTTCCAAAGCTTCGGTACATAACGGCACTTACGTCTGTCTTACGAATGTACTACAAATGCTCTTAAGAATGCTGAAGACGAACAGAAATGAGATATACAGCTCTCTGTTTGCAGTGCGTCAGTCACGCTCGTCTGGAAAGTGAGTGAAAAACACACACAAACACACATTTTCAAATTTAAAAATATTATTTTTTTTAATCAAATAATACGTCATTAATAGCGCTTCACTTCCGCGATTTGGTACGATTGGGTTCACATCAGCAGCGAACCGTACCGGAGTTCACTTGAACCGTACCCCAGACCACCCTTTTTAAGCGGACTCGGGAACGGTTCGCGGGTGCGCACCCGAGTTCGAAAGACAGCGTTCACATCATCCAAACGAACCGAACTCTGACGTCAATCGAACCCGGGTGCGCACCAAAAGTCCTAGTGTGAAAGCACCCTAAAACTAAATTTGGATTCACTTGATTAAAACATAAAAAATAAAACAAAATCTCTGTAAAAATATTACAGTTCATTAAAATATGACATATAATTAGCTGACATGATAAATATGGGACACTGTTAAAAAATCATCCCAGGATGCACATCCCAGGAATTTGGTGGAGAAAATTTCCAGAATGTGCAGAGCTGGAATTTAAACAAAGGGTGGAAAGCTAAAATAGAGGATATTTTGGATTTATTTTAATTTGACATTTTTGGTCCCTTATATTCCTTATTTTCATATTGTGTTTCTGTATTTTTTTAAAGATTTTGATGACTTGTAGAGAATGTAGTGAAGTACATAAAGTATATACTGTGCATATATATATATATATATATATATATATATATATATATACAGTATACACACACTATAAAGTATAAAAAGACTAAAAAGGATATTGTAGTAGCATATAAACTTACTGCAAATCACGGTATATGGTCTTTGAAAACACATGTAAAGACTTCCATCCTCCAGAACCCAGGAAGAAAATGAAAATGGATGGCAGAACCTGGAACCAGGGCAGGCCGACGAACAACCTGAGCACGAAGAAAAGGGCTGTGGAGCACGCCAACCGCAACATCCTAACACACACAAACACAATCACACACCATCACCTGACAACTTCAACATCGTTTCTTAACACTGGACTATTGCATTTACATTTCGTTTCACCTGCGTGATATAAAAAAGATGTTGTTCATTAATAAAAGTTATAATATAATCATTATAAACCTGATAATTACAAGGGCTGATATGCAAAACTCTGAGAGATTAACACAAGATATCTTGTGAATGTATGTTAAAGGTACAGCAGTCTAGAGTACTTTTATCATCTGGGAGAAAAGTCAGTCAGACGCTGTAACTTTCAAAATGTGTTTCTTTTATTTTTTGAATTGAGATTTTTAGTTTAATGCAGCTTTTATTTTTTTCATTTTTTTATATATTATACGTATGAAGGTTATCGTTAGATATATAAACGGAGGATAACCCTGACTGACTGTGAATGTGTTTTTGTATCTCTGATGTGCACTGTAGATGGATACAGATGATCAAGCATTGACAAGAACTTAACATGTTAATTATTAAAATGCTCCTTTATATTAAAACGCACTGAAGCGTTTCTAGGCCTTCTTTGGCACTAAAAACACCTGTAAAGTAACTAGGGTGGATTGAATGTCAGGCAACAGAGCTATTTGATCTATACTATTCTTTCTAACAGCTCATCTGAATGCAGAGAACTATCACATGATCCCTAAGTACACTTATATAGGGGAGACCGGGGCTAGTTGTCACAAGGGTTTTATCACAGTAACTAGAAGATTTTGAGTCAAAATGACAACTAGACAAATGTGGGTTTTCCATATTGGTTTCAAACATAGGTCAAATATTATCTTAATTTTTGTGAACATTTTCTCAGAACAAACATTTTTAATATTGTGATATTCTTGCTATAGCAGTTAATATATAGCAGGTTGCAAAACACTCCGAAATACATTCTTCATATTTGTAGCATTAACCAAACAAAAAAAACATTACATGGGTCAAAACTATCGATTTTTTTTTATACCAAAAATCATTAGGATATTAAGTAAAGATCATGTTCCATTAAGATATTTTGTACATTTCCTACCGTAAATATATAAAACCTTAAGTTTTGATTAGTAATATGCATTGCTAAGAACTTCATATGGACAACTTTAATTGGCGATTTTCTCAATATTTAGATTTTTTTTGCACCCTCAGATTCCAGATTTTCAAATATTGTCCTAACAAACCACACATCAATGGACAGCTTATTTATTCAGATTTCAGATGATGTATACATCTCAATTTCAAAAAATGTTACCTTTTTGACTGGTTTTGTGCTCCAGGGTCACATGTAACGAATATATATTTATTCTGAATTATTATGCAGACAGCTTAATAATTATATAGTTGATTAATTTACCAATTTCTGCTTTCTGATAGTGTTTGCCAAATTTTTGTTTAATGAACTGTTTTTGGAGTTGTATAATTGTCTTATTGTTCAAATTTAGCTGAAAAGCCATTAAAGCTTCTCATTGTGACAGCTTATGCCACATAGTAAGAATAAGATAATTTAACACATTTAGTAAATCAAAGTGTGTTAAATTAACTGTATATCTGTGATATATATATATATATATATATAAGTTGTCCTTCCAAGTGAGGAAAGTGTCCAGCAGTCAAGCTGGGCGGCTGAGACATTGACCTCTGGTGTCTGTCCTCATCACCTCGATGAAATGCTTTGCTTCAGTCTGTTTCTTTCCGTTCTTGTCCGAGCTGGAAGAAGCCAAACCCTGGATGTACTGTAGATATAAAGTGCTGTGGAAAAAATAAGCACACCCCATGAAAACAGTAACTGAATATTATGTATGTTAATAGATAAAAATGCTAGTTAATGTTATTTCATTGGATTAAACCTTACTGCCATTGATCACACAGGGCATTTACAGGTTATTAAACCCTTCCGTACTTGTGTAACAGAGCCTCCTTGTTTGCCTCCCATGTCGGAGACCCAGGTTCGAAACCCACTCGGAACGAGAACGAGGTGTGGCGGAGAAGACCTGGGAGAGAGGGGTTACACTTTTTTTTTGTACTTTTTAAGGATTTTTTTTTACCCACCTTGTAAAATCCCCATTTAGGGATTCAGTTTTGTATCAACTTGTTTTCTTTTAGTTGGCACAGGTTTTGTATTCCTTTTTGGAAATTATTGATCGTAGGCATCATTGATCTGCTACCCAAAAACTCAAAAATGTGCATGAGGCCTTTGGTCAATAGGTTCCATAAAGAAATGCAAAACATGTGCTATTTAAAAGAAAACAATTTGACAAAACCATTGAATCCAAGATTTGGTGATAATATAGCATAATGAGAGATTATACAAGCAATTTTTAAAAGGCTGGTGATTTTTGACTGGGAGCACCAAATTAGGATGTTAAAAAAAGGCTTTTCAGTACTGCACAAGGTTAAAATGAAAAGAAATGTGACCCTGGACCACAAAACCAGTCTTAAGTCGCTCTAGGGTATATTTTTAGCAATAGTCAAAAAAACATTGTATGGGTTAAAATTATCGATTTTTTTTTTATACCAAAAATCATTAGGATATTAAGTAAAGATCATGTTCCATTAAGATATTTTGTACATTTCCTACCGTAAATATATAAAACCTTAAGTTTTGATTAGTAATATGCATTGCTAAGAACTTCATATGGACAACTTTAATTTGCGATTTTCTCAATATTTAGATTTTTTTTGCACCCTCAGATTCCAGATTTTCAAATATTGTCCTAACAAACCACACATCAATGGACAGCTTATTTATTCAGATTTCAGATGATGTATACATCTCAATTTCAAAAAATTTTACCTTTTTGACTGGTTTTGTGCTCCAGGGTCACATGTAACGAATATATATTTATTCTGAATTATTATGCAGACAGCTTAATAATTATATAGTTGATTAATTTACCAATTTCTGCTTTCTGATAGTGTTTGCCAAATTTTTGTTTAATGAACTGTTTTTGGAGTTGTATAATTGTCTTATTGTTCAAATTTAGCTGAAAAGCCATTAAAGCTTCTCATTGTGACAGCTTATGCCACATAGTAAGAATAAGATAATTTAACACATTTAGTAAATCAAAGTGTGTTAAATTATCTGTATATCTGTGATATATATATATATATATATATATATATATCTTGTAGACATCACTTCAAGGTGTGTCTAGACAGAATTTCTATTAATCAACCTACTCTGTAAAATATTCACTGGCGTAAATGTGTGACAAGTAGCCCCGGTCTGATGCACCTATAGATTATACGCCATTTCACACATTGACAGAAATAATGGTTACACATTGTCATCATCGTCGCGGAGCAATGTCTGTTCAATGCTTCAGACATAATGATAGACGGGCTGTGGGTGCGGAAGGATATTAAAGCAATGCAGAAGAGCCATCATCATCCTCCTCATCAGGCGAGGGTTACCGCAGAGCCCGGAAATCTGAGCGAGCACATTGGCTATACAGCACTGTAATGACTCATTTCCGCGAATCGGCTCTTTTGAACAGTTCGTTTCAAAGAACGGATTCAAAACACCGATTCTTTTACGCCATTACACCACCTCGCGGTGCTTAGAACACAAATATAACTTGCATTTACAGTAAACAATACTACAATTTTCATCTCCAAGTTGAAAATATTGTAATATATTATAAACAACTGTCTATATAGAATGAGAGTTGATAAAGCGGTGTTGATTAAGTGGCAAAATATATCAAATACTTTTATCTGTAGTATTTCTGCTACTGAAATGTCTGCCGTTTTAGGCTCGTTGCAAGTCAGAAATGTTCCAAAGGAGACTGTCAGTTCAATGAGTCGGTCAGTTGATTCCGGAACCGATTCGTCAACGCATCGCTCAGTCCGTTTATTGACTCGGTTGAAAAGATCCGATTCAAAAAAACGAGTCGTTCACGAATCGGACATCCCTACAGCACTGCAGCACGCTGAGGTTCACGCTACTGTTACAATCACAAGATTCATTATAAGGAATTCACGCATTACATTATATCATGTGTTTACACGATCAAGCGTAAACGGCAACGTTATATCATCAGGCTTGGTTGCGCTGCGTTATTTGCTGTCCGTGTTTTATATTGAAAAGCTCAGTGCGAATATCTGGCATCTCATCCCCCCCCCAATTAAACTGTCCCATATGTACCGCATCCACCAGCCAACATAAGCAGGACACCGTGTGTGCTGATGCTCGGTAAATGCATCTTTAGCTGGCAGCTGCGATCATGACGGTTAATGATGCAGGAGATTCCGGAAATGGACAATGGCTAAAATATTTGAAGTGTAGGTGTCTGTGTTCTGGGAAATACCTCGGTATCGGTGTCCGTGTTCACAATAACCTGTGTGTTATGGCAGAAGGGGAACCTGTCCCGTACGATCCCACCTTGATCGGCTTAAGCGAAACCTCCGCCGTTTACCTGCGCGGATTCACGCGCGCCGGTGTGTAACGGCCACACGTCTGCCTTTTACCTAATAACCGCGGCGTCCTTGGTAGACTTTGCTCCTGTTTATTTCATTTTTTCAGTCTTATCTGTTATCGCTTCATTGTAACGATGGCTTGTAGCGCTGGTAATTCCAATGACCTTATAATTTTCTTACTTCAGCCCGCCTCCTCTCGATTGGCCGGTGCTGTGTGCGCACAGTGATTGACAGCTCTTTGAACCAATTGCGTTCTCGGAGCGCTTCCGTTTCGATCAGGAAAGGCGGGGCTTAAGTCCTGTCAAGGAAATGTGGCCCAGCCAGCGAATCATCAGAGCAGTTTCCACCCGGTAGCAGCTCCGCAGGACCATGAGGCATGATGGAGGAGAAGGAGGGCTATTGTCAGATATCTGCCCATCTGCTGGCCATTGTAAAGGCAAAAACAGCTGTTTGTGTACATTAAAATGATATAATGTATATGGCAATTCAAACGTGTTAAGAGGCAGGCCTTTTTACTTTAAATTAATGCTCTGAAATGATATGGAGTCAAGGATGTTTTTTTTTTTTTACTTAAAATGCACGAATCCGTCTTCCGGAAGCGTTAAAACACCGTTCATCTCACTTATCTACTTTCTCTTTGGAAAAAAATGTCTGGATTATTAAAGATACTAAATCAATTTTACTATATTTTCTTTGTTGATATGAGTTTATGGTTTTATTGTGCACAACCAGTACCAATTACCGTGCATAAAAAATATATATCCATCCTAATATTAAATGACCAGCCCTGCCGCTTGAACAATTTACCTTTTTGACTGACGTCACAAAAGCCTTATTTTTCAATCCCTTATAAAAATGGGTTGCGGAGAACATTTTGTTGACATGCTTTGCCTAACAAATTACTTTTCAAGGAATCTGTTCATGCTCTTTTATAACTAATCACAATATTTTCTGGTTCATTCATACAGTGGTGTGAAAAAGTGTTGGCCCCGTTCCTGACTTCTTATTTTTTTGCATGTTTGTCACGGGGCAAACACTTCTTCACACAGGGCCATGTAGTTTTGGATTTTGTTTTCCCTTAATAATAAAAACCTTCATTTAAAAACTGCATGCTGTGTTCACTTGTGTTATCTTTTACTAATATTTAAATTAGTTTGATCTGAAACATTAAAGTGTGACAAACATGCAAAAAAATAAGAAATCAGGAAGGGGGCCAACACTTTTTCACACCACTGTATATATATATATATACATACACACACACACCTGGTCAAAAGTTTGGAATCAGCATGATTTTAATTTTTACTCTTTGATGAATAAAAAGTTAACAAGAAGAGCATTTCTTTCTTTTTTGAATGAAATTAAAACTTGTATTCAGCAAGGATGTGTTAAATTGTTAAGAAGTGATAGCAAAGATTTATATTGTTAGAAAAGATTTATATTTTAAATAAATGCTGTTCTTTTTAACTTTTTATTCATTAAAGAATCCTGAAAAAAGTATCGCAGTTTCCAAAAAAAAAATTGGCAGCACAGCTGTTGCCAACATTGATAACTCTAATAATAAATCAGCATATTAGAATGATTTCTGAAGGATCATGTGACACTTTATACTGGAGTAATGGCTGATGGAAATTCAGCTTTGCATCACAGAAATAAATTATATTTTAAAGGATATTAAAATAGAAACCATTATGTTATATTGTAATAACATTTAGCAAGATTACTGTTTTTTCTGTGTTTTTGATCAAATAAATGCAGCCTTGATGAGCATAAGAGACTACTTTAAAAAACATGACAAGTTTTACTGATCCCAAACTTTGGACCGGTAGTGTACAGTGGGTACGGAATTGTTCACTCTTTGTTATATTGCAGCCATTTGCTAAAATCATTTAAGTTCATTTTTTTTCCTCATTAATGTACACACAGCACCCCATATTGACAGAAAAACACAGAATTGTTGACATTTTTGCAGATTTATTAAAAAAGAAAAACTGAAATATTACATGGTCCTAAGTATTCAGACCCTTTGCTGTGACACTCATATATTTAACTCAGGTGCTGTCCATTTCTTCTGATCATCCTTGAGATGGTTCTACACCTTCATTTGAGTCCAGCTGTGTTTGATTATACTGATTGGACTTGATTAGGAAAGCCACACACCTGTCTATATAAGACCTTACAGCTCACAGTGCATGTCAGAGCAAATGAGAATCATGAGGTCAAAAGGAACTGCCTGAAGAGCTCAGAGACAGAATTGTGGCAAGGCACAGATCTGACCAAGGTTACAAAAAAATT